ACAAAAAATTACACCTAAATATGTTTTTCTTAAACACAAAATGAACAGGATAAAACAAGAGCATTTTTTTCTTAATAGCTTCCAAAACAAAGAACTTACCCCAACACTACCCGTCCTGCTCCTTCCATGTGCCACGCCCCCTCGTTAACCTCATGTGGAAGCCCCGAGTGATCAGCCGTTTCTGGTTGTTGTCATTAGTCCTCTGTATTTAGTCCGCGTTTCAGTTTGTTTCCCCAGTCCGGTCATTGGGTGCGTTCGACTTCATGCAGTCACTTACAGCGCTGGCTTAAAGCAATGCATTCTGGTCCTGACGCAATGCATCATGGTTATATTTTTTTGTCAGACTTTAGCTGGCGCTGCAAAACGTCACCACGCGTCACCATGTCACATGGTATAAAAACCTTGCGAGAGCAAGACAAGACAATTCGGGCAGCCACAAGCACCTCTCAGCCGGCTGCACAAACTGGAACCGCCTCGGTGACACACCTTTGCCCTTATTGGCTGAAAAGTTTAGTTACATGCATGACGTTTGTATCCCAGGAAGTTCGAATGCGTAATCTGCTATTTCTCCCGAATTTTTTACCTGGTAAAATGAAGTTTAGATGAATTACATAAATGCTCTAATAGTACACGTAAATTAGTGGTTTATTTGTTGTTAGTTACTGTAATGTTGCACTGCTTTATTTGTTTAATCGTCCAGTCTGTGAAGAAGGCATTCAAGTATGAATTGCATTGCATACACTGTACATGACAATAAAAAGTAATGTATTTGATCATTTTCCTGGCAGCTATCTTTTTACACAGGGCCACTATACACAATAGTTTTTTTTCTCCACTGATAATAGTTTGGATCAGGAGTTAGTTATTGTAAAAAGTAACGTGCAGGCAGGTGATATTTGTATAGATTTATCTAAACCCTTCTGGCAGTGCTGCCATTGCAGTCAGATCTCGCAGACTACGAAAAGTAGAACTGAGACACAGCACTACAACCTTGAGTCATACTAAGGGTTTGTATTTAATGTACGAACAAAAGAAAAACATTAAAAAAAAAAGAAAAAAGAAAAAGAGTACACAATATGAACACACACAAATAACACTTAACAGTAGTAATAAAAAAACATTTAAAAAAAAAAAAAAAAAACCACACACTAACCTTCACCAAGACAGTTAATCTGCATATTCGAAGCTGGAGGATTTTCTTTTCTTTTTTTTCAGGGGGAGGAGAGGGGGTTATTTTTTGGAAGAAGAACCTTCCTCCATAATAACTGAAGGCAATTCTCCTTCAGGGGTCTTCTCTCTCCCTCTTTTCACACCCTTTTCAATTAAAAATCGTTCAACTGACAATTGTTTTTGTCTTTTTTTCAAAATTCTCTGAAAATGATCTACAGCATTGTTATTCACTAAATGAATCACTCTGTCGATGTCCGCTTTGTGGGGATGATATTCCATCCAGAAGTTGGACAACTTCGTCCAGTAGGAGTTCATTTCTTTAATCAATGCTGTTGGTATCTCGTCTCTTCCCTCATCCTCCCCCGAAGACAGTTCCTCTTTTCGCTGGTCCTCTAATTGTTTAGCTAACTCATGTAGGTCTTGGGTGGAGAGTTCAGGGTCATGTTCTTCCACCAACTCCTGCACATCCCCCCCATCTACCTCCAGACCCATTGACCGACCAAGAGAGACGATTTCCTCCATCAGGAAAAGGTCATCGATCATCTCCTCTTCTTGCTCTTCGAAGCCCTCAAAGTCTCGTTGAGGCACAGCCTCAGGCCACACCTTACGCCAGGAAGAATTTAATGTCCTGCAAGTCACTTCTTCCCAAGCTTTATTTATCAGGCTGATACAATGTAGAATATTAAAATGATCCTTCCAATATTCCCGGAGGGTCAATTCACTGTCTGAGGTGATCTGAAAGCAACTCTGGAAAAGTGCTTTCATGTACAGTTTCTTAAAATTAACAATCACTTGCTGGTCCATGGGTTGGATGAAAGGAGTCGTATTTGGGGGGAGGAACTTGATTGTAATGAAATCAAATTCATTAGAAATTTCACTGTCCACAGTTCTGGGATGCGCTGGGGCATTGTCCATTAAGAGGACAGCTCTAAGAGGCAGGCCGTTTTCTGTTAAATATTTTTTAACACTAGGCCCAAAAACTTTATTTATCCATTCGACAAACAATTGCCTGGTCACCCAAGCTTTGGCGTTGGACCTCCACATGACACTGAGCTTATCCTTTATTACGCTGTGCTGCTTAAATACACGGGGGTTTTCGGAATGATAAACAAGGAGGGGTTTCAACTTGAAGTCCCCGCTTGCATTTGCACACAGCAACAAAGTAAGCCTATCTTTCATAGGCTTGGGACCAGGCATTTTCTTTTCCTCTTTTGTGATGTATGTTCTGTTAGGCATTTTTTTCCAAAAGAGGCTGGTTTCATCACAATTAAACACTTGGTGGGGAACGAATCCCTCGGCCTCCAAAAATTCACAGAATTCTTTTGAAAATTGTTCAGCCTCCTCTTTGTTGGCACTGACTGCTTCCCCATGCCTAACAACACTATGAATGCCAACCCGGTTTGCAAAATTGTGAAACCATCCATGGCTTGCTTTAAAAGACTCTGGCTGTTCAGAACTGGTACCCCCCTCACTTAAAATGTCTGCATAAAGGGCTTTAGCCTTCTCACAAATCATAGCTTGTGATATGCTGTCCCCTGCCAACTGTTTCTGATTTATCCAAATAAATAACAAATGTTCCATTTTTTCCATGGTCTTAGGCCTGTTTTTTGCTGTTATGGATTTAACACCTTTGGCTACAACAGCCTTCTTTATGTCTTCCCTTTTCTTAAGGAAGGTCGACAGCGTAGATTTTGCCATGTTGTACTCTATAGCCAGTTCCTTCTGTGTTTTGCCACCTTCAAATTTTTCAATAATTTCTTTTTTTAACTCAACTGTGGTTCGCACAATCTTGCGCTTTACCACTTTTGGTCCTGCTTTTTTTGGAGCCATGGCTACCAATAAAAGATTAACCTGAAAAGAAAAAAATTCAGTCTTAATTTTTCGCAAACACTGTGCCAACACTACGCCGTGCATACCATTTTTGTCTTAATGGCTTCCAAAACGATAAAGAATGTACCCCAACACTACCCCAAGCCATAACCCAACACTGCGCCGACACTAGACTATGCCATGCAGTCCATAGTTTATTTTTATTATTACTCTGTATTCGTTAATTTGTTAGTGAATCACAAACTTTTAGGTTATAACATTTGTACAACTATTACGTAACTTTTTGGTGAGCAATGGCTACCAAAATGATATAAAGTACATTGTATTACCTGATACAGTATTTTCAATTTAAAAAAAAAAGAAGTATCACCAACAAGCGCTGCTATCATGACTCATTTCCCCGCACCTTCAAGTTCTCTTAGGTCGGCGTTCGCGGTTCGACTTCTGAGATTCGGATCGAGTTCTAGGTCATTTTTTTTTTCCGAACTGGTGGGTTCGACTTTTGAGAAATTCGAGTTATAATGAGTTTGAGAACTGAGGTACCACTGTATCTAGCTTTACTTCTATGGTAATGACGATCCTCTTGCTGGTGGTAGATGGCTTTGCAGATCTGGAATGCTTTGACATCTTGATGGTAGTAAAGTACATGTATATAATAAAAGGAATACTATTGTAAACAAATGCTTGCATACTACAAAAGTGAACCAGTCACTCGGTGAGTTACGGGTCCCATGAGACTTGCTTCAACCGCACATGCTGAACTCGCTGGCTAACTTTTCGATTACCGAGAGTTGGGAGCAGTGAGCCACAGCCACCAAGCGGCCAGGTAGGGACACAGCAAAATACAACGGATTACAGTATGCAGCGGGGCACTGAAGGTAACATGGCTTCTGACAGTCTACATAAAGCAAACATAAGTGCATTATAAAAGGTTGCCGTGTGTTTTTGCATGTTGTCAAATATTTTTAGATTTTTTAAATCTAAGACTTTGATCTGTGTAGTGTGTGGATGTTTGATTCTTTTACATGTGAAAACTAGTTCTACTGATTCCCTGGAAAGAATGATTCACCCATGAAATGGACATTAGTGTTTCTTCCTAGAACCACATCGCGTTGTAGTTTGCAAAATGATTTACTCTGACAGAACATCGCACAAATACTGTGTCGGTATTGGACTTGGCTACTAATATATCAATTGCTTCAGAACAGATTCTAATGTGTTAACAGATAAAAGTATACATTTGCATGATAATGGTGTAATTATTTTAGCCTATTCTAACAATATAGAGAGCCAGAAAAGCCCAGATCTAAGTCCTTTTCCATGGGCAAATATTGTTTGTATTTCTGTTTAGGCGTGTTGGCATTTATGGAGTTTGTAGTAGCTTTCCTTGAGAGTGTCCATGGGCAGGTGGAAAGGGTTGCTCTAGGGTTACTCAGTGCATTTTTGTGATGGGGGGGTCCAGTATATGCTATGTGCAATTCATATTGAATTATTAAGCTGTATTGTTACAGCTGCACCTACACGACAGTAGCATTTATGTAAATTCAGTTTACTTGTAATTATACTTGCTTATATTCAAAATTTGAATTTTGAGTCTGAATCCCATTTTTAAACCAATTTTATGAATTGGATTTGAGTTGCAAGGCTATTAATTCAACTCTGACCCTGTTATGTACATAAATTGTATTCAAGTGTCAAATAAATAGCGTGCGTTCCAGTTTTATTTCTCAAGACTCACTAATTAATGATTTAAGTGACTGATAAAGGACTTTGGGAAAAAAAATTACACTGCAATATCTGAAATCTTTGTGAGAATTATATTTATAGAACAAGCTGAAAATTTGCCCAGTATAAACTATAACTAAACAGAACTTATCTACCAATACAGTCCATCTTTGACCTCAACGACAATACAAAAAAAAATAATCCGTCTTTACTGAGAAAAGTGTGTCAGTAGTTCGCAATCTAATAAAACTTGGACAGTGCTGACTGATCCCTACCTGAGATGTGCATCTGTCCCCGACTTCTTCGTCTGTAAAAATCATCTTTGTATGGGTTCCGTGTGGGTCGCCCCCAGCAGGTTCGGTGTTCTAGGAATACGGGGTTAGATATAAACTGGCAATTTAAAATTTATTTTACCACACTATACTAGTATATCATGGATACAATTACAAAAAAATATGCATCATTTATTATTTGACAGATTAATAATCTTAATAGCATTACGAGCAAAAGCATGCGTCATTGCCCCGGGGAGGTGATTTATGAGAAGACCTCAGTAATAGCTATTCTGCGGTTCATTTGCCAAAAGCGTAGTTGCTAACAACGTGAGCAACTTACAAAGTTTGAACTATGCAGCTGAACGGTTCCAACTATGCAAACGGGGGCTTTCGGAAATGTAACCGATTCATGCTACTTTAGCCAGGAAATCTTGACTGTTCCACATTACCTGATGCTCCACATTACCTATAGTTTGCTAGCTATGTAAAAGGTTACCACTTACCTCACATTCAGCTTTGAGGAAAGATCCCACGGTGCCTCGGACCCTGTCCTCTACTGGAACATTCTGGATAAAGGTGTATCCTTCTGGTTGAGGGAAGAAAGATTCTTTCTGGCCAAAGTTGAATTCAACTGCACAGTTCTTGACCAGAACATGCGGGAAAAGAGGGTGTCCGGCCAGCTCTTCTCTTTTGATGCAGAATGCTGTGTCCAGCCATTTCCCATTCTTTGAAAAACATATCTCGATATCTTCTGCACTTTCAAAGTCCTGTCGGTGACACGGGGGACAAAAAAAAAGATTTGAAAAAAATCTGATTGTTGGCAAATTAGCACAACAGATCATAGATTTGCTGTATTCTGCTAATATCTGCTTTGCATGACTTCGGAAAACATTTTATTACAAATAAAAATGCTAAAATAGGTCCACACACAGAATTAAAAGTTCAATGGTAGCCTGCAGTGGACACAAACTGCCTCTGCATTCCATTTTCCAAACTACTAAAAAAATTAACTGGTTACATCACACAATAAGATAGAAAATCAATTGTTATCGTGATAACATTTTTGGCCATATCACCCAGGTCTAGTAGCTACTATCTATGATGTCACTTAAGCAACACGGGTGCAGCAAACAAAGAATGTGGCGCTAATTTAAAGCTACCTAGGTTTAATGCAACCTAACGACTAGCTGATGCAACTCAATGCAGCACATTTCACACCTCAGTTAGCTTAAAAGGAATCACCTCCATACGGGAATGTTTTGTCCAAATCCACGGACAAGTAACCACACAAACCTTCACTGTAAACACTTACTATGTAACAACCAAGGACGTCATTTTTTCCAAACCTTTCGCCGTAATCTTCACATTTGCAGTCCACGAATTTCTTGCCTGTTCCTCCATATCCAAAGGCGAAAGGCTCCTCACCTAACATAGGAAAACAAGTTCAGTTCTTTAGCATCATAAACTAGGCCAAACTAAGCAGATCTTAGGGTCCAGCAGAAGACCGCTAAAAGGCCAACTGCCATATGATGGAAGAAACTTCTTACCCAGTTGCATCCTGCAGGAATCCAGGGACCAGCCAACTCTCACGACATCAGGATCAGGATTAGTGGTGGACAGGTGCTTTACTGAGATCTCATCACTAATCTGAGAAGGGAACAGTTACTTCAGCTTAACAAAAAAGGGTCATGAATTCACATTGATGCTCTATTCAGCCCATATCAGAGGTGGTAAAACCCACTTATTGTAGCCTACCTTGACCTCATAGCAGACACGGCCTTTGGCGACGCCATAAGATGCCCGGGCGCCCGACCACAGATAGGCGACGCCCTCGACAGCGAGAGGGTAGCCACTGTACCGGTCACGAGACACCTTGAAGTGCAGGTCACAATTGTCTGCCAGACCGAGAGAAAAGCCTTACTGTAACCCAGCAGTCATTATCCAGTGGCGTTTAAAAAGCTGCTATATGGTAACCCAGGACAACCAGAAACAAAGCAGTCTGACTCACAGATGTCAATGGCCACCAGAGTGTCATCAAAGTCTTCCTCTTCCTCCTCTGCTGGGGGCTGGGATGAGCGTGACCTGTCGAGGACAGCGTGCAGGATATTTAACACTCGAAGAAAAAAAAAAAAACCTAGCTAAAGGAACGACTAAAAATTCCAGCATTAAAAGTACCTCTTGTGCTCCCGGAGTTCAGAGTAGCTGACCCCATGTCCCTCAGTGTAGGGTCTCTTACGGCCATTAGGCATGTGCCTGTCCTCCATCTTAACCCGCACGGCCTCCTGGGCTTTGTAGTCATTGGCCGGCTCCCGATGCAAATGTTGCTGCTCCTCTGGCTCATCCTTTATCTCCACCTTCATAACAAACTCTTCTGCGCAGGATGAGAAAATGCTTTAAATGCATGAACACAGGGTTCGACTATGCTAAAAAAATAAACTGATGCTTTCCTTGACATTTCACTGGCTGAAGTTTAAAAGTGACTGTAACAATGCATTATGTAATAACTCAAAAGTCGAGTTTCAACTTTGATAATTATTCCATTCGATATGCCACAAAAGGTAAGATCTAAATAATTAGCTCTGTCATCTCACTTCAATGCAACCCGTTTTAAAGTATCCTCCAGGGTACTTCTGACAGGCTCCGTGAAGTAGTCAGGCTATTCATTGATTAATTTATTTGATGCAGTGTAGCAATGGTGTAACCTTATGCAAGAACGTTTTTCTTTCTTTGTAAAAAGGATGAAGAGAACGGGGTGCAGAGAAGCATGCCTGAAGCGGAAGCCCCCAAGATGGGCTTTGGGATCGGAACTGAAGACCAGGAACTACTGGGTAGGGCTTATAACGGTAAACTTTGCTGATTGGTTGGCCACAAGCAACAGCACCAACCTGGAAGTTGCGCAGAAGCAAAGTAGTGGAGCAAAAATAGAGAAAATATAATCATTCTTGCATCTCAACTACAACTAAATTCATTCATGAATACCTGTTTTTCTTGTGAAGTACTTTGTCTACTATTGCCAGTACCAAGCACAGGATGCCAACAGCGAAACCAGCAGAATATTTTTTCTTTAGAAAACCAAAGATTGACCTACTAGTTACATCTAATAAATTCTAAGGCGCTTTCACACTGCTGGAACTATTTTCTGGAACCAGAACAAACAACTCTTGTTGGTGTTCACACTACAAGAACTCAGCCCGACTGTAGTTCCTCAGAGGGAGTTCTAGAACCCGTTTTGTAGGACCGACTCCGGACTAGGTACTTATATTGTACTTGTAAGGTATTAACTACTGGGAAAACACTTACAGCGACAGCTTGTTGATTGGTTGGAAGTTACGCAGAAGTGCAGAAGGAGAGATGTAGTGGAGCAAAAATTGAACAGATGGAATAATTTTTTGCACCCCAATTACATCTTATGAATCAATTATTACATTTTTTTGCTTCCATCTCCATATTTCTGCATCGGAAAATTTGATCACTAACGAATATACTTTCGTCTAATATCGCCAATGCCAGCAGTGAAACTTGCCAGCGCTTATTATTAGCGGAATAACATCACATCGTTGTTTTATTCTGTGGAAAACAAAAACTCGAGCTGTTGTGTGAAGTGAAAGTGACAGGTGGTCAGGAGCTGGGAAAGTTCCCGGTCGAGACAACCTTGGGACTTGAAAACCGGAACCAGGCTCTGGAACTTCAGTGTGAAACATGTCTAAACATACTGACCCACGACCACCAAATTGTTCCCCCCCACTAACATGACTAACAAAACGACTCATTCATCCTGCACTGTTTTGGGGTGGCAATGTAATTTTGTCGAGTATGAAATCTGGGTTTAACCTATGAGATTTGTGTCTCCCATGGTTATTTAGCATAAAGGTCATGGTTCCTGTTTTACGGTGGGAAAGAGATACACAAAAGTGGCCAGGAGCTACAAAAGTTCCAGACTGATGTAGTCCAGGAACTCGGAACAAAGTTCCTAAACAGAGGTGGGAACAGTTGGTGGCCTTATTAATCCATAAATTTACTCTGGATGGGCTCCACAGATGGAGTCAGCGTGGATCAATACAGAAACTGGATATTAGTGATTAACCATACCTGTGTCCTGGGACTCCTCGCCGGCTCCATCTCCATACTCAGCCTCCTCGTCACCTACACACGCTTTGTCCATTGACCCCAGTGTCCCAGCCCCCTTGCTTGTGGCCTCGGCCTCAAGGACCACTTCCAGTCTGTCGACAAGATCCGCTTTCAGACCTCGGGTGTCCAGGCCTCGCCGCTGGAGTTCCTCTTTGAGCTCGTTGACCTTTAATTTACTCACATTTACTCCACTCATGATTGAGCCAAAAGTATGAAAATGGCCTCTCTCCCAAAAACACTGCAAAGAAATTTTAAAAAAGCTTGATCAGATTGGGCAGGAAAAAAAATGGCTGTGTCGCACTTTAGCCCTTTCAACCCGACCCAGGGATTACACTGCTCTTCCCATCACTTCAGTAATTTACGCCCATGCCACCATATCTAATTTTGTCATACTGTCCAGATATTATACCGAGGTATACGATAATTCACTAAGCAGCATTTTGAAATCTGGGCAATAAAATTTGCTGAGCGGGGTGGAGGATTCAAGGATTCAAAGCGTTTATTGTCATATGTACAGTAGAAAAGTGCATTTCTCTGTGCAATGAAATTCTTACTTTGCTGTCCACACAAAAATGGTGAGGTACAATAAAAGAAAAAATAGAAAAATAAACACTTAAGTGTAATGTGCAAAAGAGCTTAATGTGCAAAAAATTACAGTATGAGGTAGCATGGTATGGTAGTATGACGTCCATTAATCATACTCCTGTCGGCTGTTAAGGAGTCTGATGGCAATGGGGAAGAAGGAGTTATGCTATATTGACGTAATAACGCCCAAGCCTAGACTAACAAGTTTAGCAATTAGCAATATCACTTGATAACACATTACGCGCGGTGCTTCACGTATAAGACTCCGTAGCAACACGTCCACAGATATGTTGGACGGTATAGTGTGTGCGACCGATTTAATGAGCCACAAATGAGAAGTAGTGCTTAAACAGGATAAAACTACAACTTTCCCTTCTGTTGATAAAGGGCGTAGCCATCTTGGATTCTCTACTCGGGATCCTCTGTGCTGTCCGAGATAATTTCTCGGATCTCCGAGAAACGGGAGCGCGCATGTCGTCACTTCCGGCTTTAAAACTGGAATCAAACTCGGAATCAGAGTTCCGAGGACAAATGGAATGTACGATACTATGGAATAGTATGAATAGTATGGATAGAGATTGCCGCGCGCATGACCGTCCGCACCCCGAAAGCGCACGAAGGAGCGCGAGGAGAAGCGAAGTATGAATTGACCTTTAGCCGCCCGGACTTCACGCCACACTGTGGGCGCGCGCACACATTATTTACAACAAATAACATTAAGCACATTCATTTACAGCACATTAACAACACAAGACACACTAACTAGTTATCTACACTATTTACACTTGGCACCAGTCCTGCGATGCCGTCGCGCTGCCCGATGAGTTTCACCAGCGTTATATGATACAATACGTTTACTTGTGTTTAGTTTCCTGAAATTATTTATCTCAAATGCAAAATAAATGGACTAAAAACCTGAGATACTGCAACAACAATATTAGAGAACGCTTCTTAAACCCGAACACATGGTGTCCAAACTAGCAAAACATTCATAAAACTAATTAGCCTAAAATGTATTGCTGGCTGGCTGCTAAGCTACTGCACGATTTCCCGACTTCTTTAAAACTCTCAACTTCACGGAGTGGCTGTCTCTGTGAAGTGTGCAAATAGCTCACTTTTTCACTTCAGATATTATGACGATTGATATTTCAATTTAAAAAGCAGTTACGAAGAACAAAAAAAACCTTACCTTCCCATTTAGCACTGTAACTGCCTGCTGCTGTGATTCACGGGCATGCGCAAGCTGCTGCCTGTGCGCTTTATTTCTATTGGCTAATGGTCTCTTCATTCAAAGAGGGGGCACGCAAACAGATGACGTAACAAACCCACAGCTACAGACAGCCTCCCGCTTCGGTTTATAGGACGCAGCCAGATGAGTAGGGTGATCACATAATCCATGTCAGGGACGACACTCTGAGCTAGGACAGGAATTGTAAATTATCATTTCAGTTAAACGGACCTGGATTTCACTTTAGCACTGAGTTCTTGCTGTGTGCTGATAAGTCAGTCTCCTATAATCATGCATGTGTCACTAATGCTAATGTGAAACAGCTGGATGAGTCTTTCAGTCAAGGAAACAAACCCGTCAAAGCACAAGAAGAGTAGAACTATTTAGCCGAGCACAGGAGCTTTTCAGTTTGAAAGTAGTTTGTAAAAGCCGAAGTAGCTCAAAGTGTCCTCCCTGACATGGATTGTCTGGTCACTCTACAGATGACCATTTTTAACTTATAATTTAAATATTCATTGGTGAAATTGTTCTTTACACGGGCTTTGGGCAGCCAAAAAAAACGCCTTGCTAAAAAAGGCACCGTGGACATTGAGGGGAAGAGGGGCAGATGCTCCAGCATCTAAATCATTGATTCTCAACTGGTGGGTCGCGGGCCTTTGTCTGGGCAAAAAAATGTTGAGAAAGACTTGAGTGTCGTCAGTTCACACTCCATAACAGTAGGTGGTGATAATGCCTTGTAATGCGAGTTGACAACCGCTGTTTCACATCAAAGAAGAAGACCCGCAAACTTTGTTTACATATGCTAATCGAGTATGACGAAAAGAACACCCATGGCCTGTACTACGACGAAGGGTTAGGCTTATCGGGGTAACTTGTCGGATTTAGGTACCACAGTTTAAATGGACTCGATATTCGTTCACTTACATTTTGCCCAGACTACCTTAAATCCGACAAGTTACCCCGATAAGCCGCGGTGTAACCCCGCTTCGTAGTACAGGCCACCGGTGTTTTCAGAAACTGTGCCAAGATCTTGGTAGTGAGCATGTACAGGTGTTGTATCATGCCGAGGTACGTTGGCTTTCGAGGGGAAAGGTACTGTCCCGTTTTTATGAACTACGAGCTGAAATCGCAGCTTTTCTTGCTCAGAACAATTCGCCTCTTGTCGACTTGTTTAGCAGCAGTGTGTGGTTCGCACACATTGCTTACCTCGCTGATGTGTTTGAACAATTAAACACATTAAATGTGTCTGTGCAGGGAAGGGGGCACAACATTTTTGAACATTATACTTTCAATTCAATGCTTTCAAAAAAGATCAAGTCATGTTTCTAAAAACCGACCGGACATGTTCCCCAATGCCTGTCATGAGGGACAGCAACTGGGCGCGGCAGAAAAAAATGTAATGAAGAAAACACATTTTTGAACTTCATTCTTTGTTGTTGAGAGCAGACATTCTGTTTTTCAAACCTGCAGTAAAATTGGTTGGGCTGATTGGCATAGCCTCAGAGCTAGATGGCTTCTTCTTATAACCTGTGATCTTTCAGGCTATTGCAGGATGTAGGACAGCCTTTGGTAGTGTAGGGAGCCGCCCTACATACGTTTTACACGTTGTGTTCTGAGCATTTCCTTACAGGCAGAGATGGGCAGTGTTTCAGTTAAAAGTATCTAAAATTTATTTATTCACTTTTGAGTATTTTGTAATTTGAATTTGTAACAAAATACTTGGAGAGACTGTATTTTATGTATTTTAAATACATAATAAAATATCATTTTAAGAACCTTCATCACCAGGCTTACAGTCTTTTAAATGTAGCCTATCACCATCTTTGGTAGTAATCCAAGGAAAGAAGCTGCTTTGATGATCGGTGCAAATTGCCTTAACATAAAGTATGTACTAAAATAGGCTTATATTACTATATTTATCTAATCGTCAACTAAAATTTCATGATTGTGACAGCTCTACATGGAATTTCACTGAATTTTTTTGAATTCAGTTTTGAAATTCCAATTCTGTTTACTGTGGGTTTTTCCCCAATTACAAACTGCAATTTTATTTGATTTGGAATGGATGAGTTCATTCATAATTAGTCTCACCCTTGTTCTATTGAGTAGTCACTATGGGAGAATGTCTCTCAGTTTAAATAACAATAGACAACCTCTCTGATAAGTTAGCTACATTTATTTTCAATTTACAGAACTGGTTACCTCCCAGGTTTAATGCTGTGTTCCATTTACCTTGGAAGTCAGAGCTGGGAATGACATCACATTCCATTACAACTAGCCAGGCTAGCTATTTGTAATGTCAGTTCTACCCAGGTTCATTGTTAGCCATTATTAGCAATACCAGTTGATTATGTAGTATGTTGCACCCATGAACACCACAGCAACATGTCCACAGATTGTAGTGGGACAGTAGTGTGTATACGGATGATTTGAGATACAAGACATAAGTGCTAATAAAGAGTATATAACTACAGTTTTAGCTTCTGTTGATGAAGAGGTGCAGCCATATTTCACGTAACATTTGAAAGAATTTATAAAGAGACCATCACATCATATTTCATAGTTGATATAAAAATTTTATTTTTCATAAACTGACAAAAAGAACTGTCATATTTCACAACGATGCAACAATTTGCATCGTTGCATCGTTTTAAAATCAAATAATCAAAAACAGTACATTACCTAATATTTCACGGAACATGAATGGGGAAAAAAAAACGTCTGAAGTGAAAAATAGAAAAATAAGAAACATAACATTCAAGAGTAACTGCAAGTAAGGAATCTTAATGAGAATTTTGTTTTTTAAATGATAAACCTCTGTTGCGAACAAAGTCCCTTATATTTTGGACTGTTCTGTTCTTCAGTATTGCAGCTTCTGCTGTTTTGCAGACTTTGCATTCTGTTACCGAGGCTGAAATCCCCCTCCTCACGTGCCCTTTAAAGTGCCTCATTACTGCTTCTACTTCAGTGCTGCTCCAAGACCTTTTTATATGCCTCTGCCTTACAGACCCTAAAATGGCAAATAAATCATTGTATATTTATACATTTTAGAACACATAGTACAAAGTGCACCAAGAGGTGCTCATCAGGATAATATTCAAACTTGCATCTTACTTGTACACTTAAAAGCTCAAATTCACCGTTTACCTCACACTGACATCTTGGTTTGTGTTAAGTATTAACTAGCCAACCACCTAAATGAATGCCTTAAATGTAACTAGAAACACCAAAAACTGAATAAATATTATTCTAGCATCACTCTGTTAGAATTAGGACAAGTTTACACAAGTGCAATACAATACTCTCAGAAGTGGATTAAACCAAACACTGCAGAAATACACTTACCTTTCCTTTCTGTTGCAGCATTGCGACAATCACTAGCATCATGGTCTTCCTCTTCCTCGGAATTGTCCCCTTCCTCATCTGTAAACTCTATGGAAAGAATAAAGCAACATAAAAATACAAAATAAAGAGAAAAAACATTCTACTATGTCGTCCACACGCTAACCTGAGAGAATTTGTCACATTAATAGTGGTGATGGGTTTCATTCAAGTGGTTAAAAGTGTTTATGCGAAACTTATGCAAAAAATGTGCACCATATATATATATTTCAACGAAGCACGTTACTACCCTCCCTTTAAATTTTAAATTCAAACCTTTCTATACCTTCAACGTCATCCAGAGATCTTCCTGCCAGCCGTGGTATTTTGCCTCTTTCCCGGGCTAATATCAGTCTGGATAACTTAGCCATTTGAATGGTATCTTCAGGAAGATGATAGTCCTTGTGCAAGAGATAATTTCCCAGTTGTTCCTTTTCATTATTTTTTAAATTCAGAATCTGTGAGGTAGCTGCAATTTGTTTCCTTAACTGGGTGGACGTCAAGTGCTCTGGGTGACGGGCTCCGCATTCACTGGCGTATGTCTTAAGGCAGTCATGTCCCTTGTAGTGGCTCATGCATTTTGGGACAGCAAATAAGTGGGGGTTATCTTTTGGGATGCCACATTCTTTCCGTCTCATTATAAGCAGTTCTAGCGCTCTTACCACTTCTGGGGGAAGCAAGACTGCAAACTTATGCTCGTTTTTGTCCATCAATACGACTCTAGTGAAATGACTGCACAGCTTCTTTTCACACTCTGACAGGCTCAAGTCCTGATGAATGTGAGAGTCGTCTTTGTGAAGAAAATTCTTCAATGAAATTTTTGAGACTTCGCCATAACGATGCCGATTTAAAAGGATTATCTGTGCCAGCGATACTTGAGCCAGGCTGCAGTAGTTCTGGATTGAGCTCTCCTTCTCCAGTGCTGCAAATGCTAGTTCTGCACTTCGCCAAAGATGCTGATGCAGCTTTTGAATGTCTTCATTTAGATGTAGTTTTATTGGCTTACTGCATTTCTTTTTCTTCAGAGTTCCTCGAGCAGAGTGAGAGACATACTCTAACCACTTGGCTTTGTAAAGGACCTGAAAAGCTTCTACTGACTTCTGTAGGTTCTCGTCCTCTGAAATTATGGCATTGCAGCGAACAATGTCACTCGCTTTCTGTAAGGAATATCCGATCTTCATGACAAGGCTTGGTGTTTTGAATGCGTTTTCATTCGCATCATAACCCGCAACTTCTTTCACTGCCTCTACAACCGTCATTAAATTTTCAGGCTTTATAGCATCTTCCAAGGTCCACAACGGTGATTTTTTGCGCAAGGTTTTCAATAATCTACTCAGCACCAGAATTTTTTGTTGAATGTATTCATGGTGAGCTTTATTGTGGCCCAATTTGTTAAAAAGATACTGAGCAAACTGCAGCAGGGTTAAGTCATTTCCAGCTATTCCAGCAGTTTCATCATCCTTCATTTGGTTTAATATTTTCAATGCACCTTCAGTAAAATTTCTTGAAAGTGATGCCTTTGCCACAGCTGCAACACCCAGTACCCTGTTTCGACCTTTATGGTCATTGGTCTCCTCTAATTTTGATGAGCACCTTCTCATATGTCTCCACAGCTCTGCACGCTTAAACATCCCTCTGCAGTGAATGCAGTATTCATATGCTCGACATTTATCATCTCTTGATCTACGTGAAACTTTCAAACTACCACAACCTTTACTCAGGACAGAGTTGTTATGCATGAAGTTGCCCCTGTTGCGTAAAATATCGAGTAATTTCTTCCTTTCCTTAGAGCCTGTAGGACAGCTCAGGGCCTTCGCTACATCTGCACTCTCCTGCTTATGTCTTTTGAGGTGTCTGGCTAATTTAGTTTGTGGGGTTCTGCAGAGAAAACAATAATTTCTTCCATCCTTTGCTAATGTGGTTGAATTTACAAGCTGTGTTGAGTTTATCTGATTCACAACAGAGTTTCCACCGGCCTCTAATGTGACCTCCACAACTGAAGAACCACCAATCTGACAGTCCAAAGCATCAGTGGCTGTATGAACTGCTGAATCAATGGCTGAGTGACATTTTGAGTTTGCCTCAGCAATGGGTGCTTGTTCATCCATATCAGCTTCAGAATCTGATGTAGAGCCTGGGATGTATTCTCCCGATGACATTTCCTATTTAAAATAAAGGTACAAAGTCAGACTCAAATAACTTGCAAAACTTTTTCATTTCCAGTTATTACTCAATAGCTGTGACTGGATTTTACTTACAACTTGTCTCTGTAAACAATCTGAATGCCACATATTTGAACAACCTAAGAAAAAGCAAAAATAATCACTATTACAAGAGTAAAAAGCAGTTTACCATCACAGTATTAAGAAAAATTATGCCTTCTGTGGGGTGAAATTTGACCCCAAACATAACAAGGGCATAGTAATATTGTGATAATGATATTAAATTTTCTTTTTTCTGCTGTCCACTAGGGAGTTAAAGTTTATGGTTTCCTCATGATTTCTCATTCTTTTGTGGTTATACTACTTAACATTTTCAGGTGCATTTAGTCTTATGTTTTGTAAAAAAAAAAAAAAAAAAAACATTGTGTAAATGTCATTTCAAATAACATGAAACCAACAAAAATATGAAATGTACATTTTAACAAATCTGGTAAGTGCTTCTACAAGTTTCTACAAGATGTCTGAATTGCTCATCTTACCCACCCATAATCACCACAGACCTATACCATATTAAACTATAAATGTTATTAAGCATAAAGTTTGATTAGGTTTTATACAATTTCCATTTTAATGTCAGACAGGGCTGTGGAAAATGTTCCTTGAGACTGATGCCATTTTAACACTGATTAGTGTATTGTGCATTTGCTACCACTAGATGGCACAAAAACTGTCCACAAATGAGGACAATAGGTCCAAGTTAAGCTGGATGAACTGTAAGGTGCAATAAACACAAAGCATAATGTCTGCATATGGGGCCACTATGGGGAAAGGAGTGTTATACAAGCCTGGTGACAACAAAACCTTCTTCAGCAAACCATTACTACACCATCATAGCAATAAAATCATACCATAATTTAAAAAATGTTATTACAGTACTATCTGAAAAGACTGTTGTGAATAAAACCAAGTCTATTACACATCATTTCACTGTTTTAGAGAACAAAAAACATGCTAACCGTTGTAACTGTTCAACTTACATGACTCTGATGTGTTCCTGGGTATATGCTGTGACATACAGCCATGTTCCTGTTGAGAAACGAAAAAAAAAAAGAATAGTTTAGCCTTCTATAATTTCACTTTTGTGCAATTATGTACCAAATGCCTTCGATTCCTTTTTTAGACTGTAAAAATGCAATGTGAAATAAAAGGAAAATGTAATCTTATCTTTTAATCCAATTTTTTATACACTTTATAACAAATCTTGAACTGTCCTTATTACTTGTTTCTAAACCTCATACACCAATTATGTGTTTCTAATCCAATCATAAAAATAAACTTCATAGTAACTACACTGATCAGCCATAACATTAAAACCACCCGCCTAATGTTAGGTACACTGCTCAAAAACAATTAAAGGAACACTTTGAAAACATCAGATATCAATGGGGGAAAAATCATGCTAAATACCTATACTGATATAGATTTTGTAATGTGTTAAGAACGCGAGAATGCCATATTGCTTGATGGAAATGAAAATTATCAACCTACAGAGGGCTGAATTCAAAGACACCACAAAAATCAAAGTGAAAAAATGATGCGGCAGGCTAGTCCATTTTGCCGAAATTTCATTGCAACAACTCAAAATTGTACTCAGCAGTTTGTACGGCCCCCACATGCTTGTATGCATGCCTGACATCATCGGGGCACGTTCCTAATGAGACGACGGATGGTGTGCTGGGGGGGATGTCCGGCCAGATTTGGACCAGGGCATCACTGAGCTCCTCGTTGACCATGATCCCCCCAACGTGGGCCCCCAGGGCTGTCCCCCAAGCCCCCAAATTTGACATTTGATGGGACCTAACAGGTTTTACTGAGGAAAGAGTAAAATTATGCACTTTCACACCCCTGTGCAACAACACAGCCACCAAAATGCTACTAGTTTTTCTAATTACATTGTTTCTTAACAAAAAAAAAAACCACACACAAATTAAGGAAATTCTATATTTTATTCACATGTAATCCAAACCAATATAAAACTGATGTCGTTTCATTTATGAAATTATATTAATTTAATTTATTCATTTATTTACAATATATATATAGCGCATAATACTGCCGGGCTGTCATTGGTCCTTTTTCTGCAAATGCCACTCCGAGAAACAGATGCAGTTCGCAACTATGCAGAGTGGGACATAAGACATACATTTGTCAATTGTTTCATTGTTCTGTTTCTTTGACAGGCAGTGCACACAGTATTTCCTGCCCTGTGTGACCTTGAGCTTTGGGTCTACAGCAGAAGTATCAGTGATAGCTACTGGGAAGCACATGTCCTGCACCCCCTACGCCTCCTACCAAAGGCAAACAACTGCTCACACAGACTCTCCCTGAAGGATGTGCTAACACAGTCTTGCTGAAAAACATGGAAGGGGCTATATTCTCGATGGAGGTCCACCTGAACTCCAGGGTCCCTCTTAGGGCGGAACGTGAACTACGGAGGCCCTTGATCAGCAGTGTCCACCGTGTCCCATTTACTCCCGGTTTCCATTTCAGTGCTGGGTTCATCTTCTTGTTCTTCATCGGTGCTAAATGCATTTAAGAAAGAATACGTATGAGCTACGCAAGATTATACAGGGATAAGTCACAGGTAACAAAACAAAAATGCGTGCATTCACTCAGGCAATATGTAACTTTGCACACACATACGAAAAACGACAAGGAGAAAACAGAACACAGGAACTGGAAACAAAACAACTTACATGTCGAGTGTTGCATTCTCTCCATAGAGAAAAGTGTCCTCCTCCATCGAGTCAGCAACAGATGTCTCACTTTCTTCGCCCGAATCACTTTCGAGACTGAATGTCTTCATAGCCACTGTTTGCTTATGAGAACCAAAGATCGTTGTTCAAATTGTTCACCAAACGCCCACCGCAGAATGCGCTCAACTGCCCACCGCAGAATGCGCTCAAACGCCCACCGCAGAATGCGCTCAAACGCCCACGGCAGAATGCATACTCGAACTCCTCAAACTTCTGTACCTATTACACTCAAGTCCATTTTGGTGAAAATACCGAATCAATGTGTCCCATGCCCTTCAGGAAAGCTTAGGAGCTTTTCCATTAAATGCAACTGCTGACTGTGAAACATAATTATGGGAGAATGCTCACTGCGTCAAGAATGCTACATAAGCAGGGAAATAGGCGCATGATTTCACTGGTGAAGACAGACAGGGAATCATTTATGTACAGAAGCAATCAAACAAGGGCAAGTTCGCCACCATATTCTATGGTTTTGTTAGAAAATTTTGATGGGAAAAGGTGTGTCAAGTCCTCATGCAATGGTAACTGATGACAATTTGGAGCAGAAGGAGTATGAAGTACTTACTGGTCACACAAAACTTAAATATGGCTGCACAGTAGTTCACTTATTCCAAAAACACCCTGGCACTTAACGGGCTCATGTCCCACATTACCTGAATTCACCCTAATGTACGTGGTTGGTCTGCATAAAAAGACACCACTTACCTCATGTTCAACTTTGGAGGACGGTCCCACAGTGCCTCTGACCATGTCCTCTACTGGGATCTTCTGGATAAAGTCAAAATCTTCCTCTTCCTCTTTTGCTGGAGGCTGGGCTAAACGTGACCTGATCAAGACAAGATGAAGTTAATGCACGCAAAGTGAAATCTAATCTAAAATCTAGCCAAAGGAACGACTAAAAATTCCAGCATTAAAAGTACCTCTTGTGCTCCCGGAGTTCAGAGTAGCTGACCCCATGTCCCTCAGCGTAGGGTCTCTTACGGGCATAAGGCATGTGCCTGTCCTCCATCTTAACCCGCACGGCCTCCTGGGCTTTGTAGTCATTGGCCGGCTCCCGATGCAGAAGCTGCTGCTCCTCTGGCTCTTCCTTTTTCTCCACCTTCACCACAAACTCTTCTGCCCAGAATGAAGGAACATTGCTTTATACACATAAATACAGGGTTCAACTATGTAGAAAACTAATGTTTTCCCTGACATTTCACCTGCTTAAAGATCAACAGTCACTGTAACACTGCATCATGTAATATCTGGATAAAGGTGTGAATGAAGACATCCATTTTGGTTATTGCATAATGTACTATATCATTATATTTTCCATCGAAACGCAACTCCCACATTTTGTAATAAATTATTTACCTAACGTGATGGCCATCACAAAATGCAGGGAAATTACATTTTGCATTAAGCTATTACAAAATGCAGGTGTCATTACGTAATCAAGTGAATTTGGTACATTTCATTATAAGGCAGTATTATGACTTAATGCATTATTACATTGACCAGTGTTCAGTAAGATGAGATCCATGAAAACTGGAAATGCCTATTGGGACTGACTTCACTTCAGGGGATCTCAAAATAGAACATGAACAAAGAGTAAGTGAATCCTCGGCCCTCGTAGCAGGGGCACTTACGTCCATAAGGCATATGCTGGTCCTGCACGTACTCCTGGGCTGTGCACTCACTGGCCAGCTCCCAGTGCCGGTGCGGCTGTCCTTCCTCTTTCTTTGTCTCCACCTTCACCACAAACTCTGTCCAACCACCTGTGGACATGTCGTTACGGTGGGTTTTATGCGTAAAATACCGCATAATGTAGTGTTATCAACTGATATCGCTAAAAATTTCCAACAAATAGCCGGGTTAGAACTGGAGTCGGTTTATAAAAGAATATTTCACAACTGCGGAGCCTCTCTGGAACCAGAACCCGGTACTTTTCGTTCAAACACGAACTACTGGGGAGGACCCCTTTTTTATCTTATTTTACCAGGAAGGTTCCATTGAGATACAATGTCTTCTTCCAGGAAGTCCTAGCCAAGATGGCAGCAAATAAGAAAAAAAGACAAAAGTTTCATATACATACAGACAGAGATGATTAATATGAACACAGACTAAAACACATACAAATACTCAACCTATATATAGAATAAAATTAATTTATACGAAACAATGACACTTCTTTAAGCTCAGAGTTTAAGAAGTTTTTAAACACATTCAGAGAAGGCAAGGAGTTTAAATTCAAAATATTTTGTAATGTGTTCCACTCATGTGGTGCATAAGAACAACAGACGGATTTCCTCAGTTCTGTGCGTGTCGTGGGAAGCTGAAGGAGAAGTTTAACTGATGAACGGGTACTGTATGTGCGGAATGTCAGCAAACTACATATGTACTGTATGTATTAGTGCGCAATGTCAGCAAACTACATATGTACTGAGGTAATTTGCCCATTAAAGCCTTTGCAATAAAAACCAGGCAATGCATTTTCCTTCTAAGATGTAATGATGTCCACTCCACCATCTCATATAGCTTACAATGATGTGTTCTTGCTGCTGCACCAGTTATAAACCTCAATACTGCATCATAAATAACATTTAGTTTCTTCAAATAAGATGAAGGTGCATGCATGTATATTATATCACCATTATTTAATACTGATAGGAAGGTGCTCTGTACTAGTCTTTTTCTAGCAATGAAGGGAAAACATTTCTTTAAACAGAAATAGAAGCCTAGTTTTGGGTGAAGTTTTTTTAACAAGCTGTTTATACAGACTCCCAAAATAACTTGTTGTCAAGTCAGATATTTGTAAGAAAACACCTTCTCTAGATGAGTGCCATCTAGTGTTAAAACAGAATAATCAAGGGGAGAACATGAATGTAAATACCATAACTTTAGTTCTTGGCATTTAACACCAGTTAAATAAATAACTTGATAAGAGACATCTGTAATAAATCAAAAGCAGACTACAATGAATCTATTGTTTCTCACAGTGGTGTAAAGAATTGCATTATCAGCATACAAGTATATTTTTGCTGGTTCTAGCCCTAAACTAATATTATTTATATAGATAGAGAATAAAACCGGTCCTAAAATAGAACCTTGAGGCACACCAGTTTTTACTATTTGTGAGGTAGAGTTATAGTTATCTATAGCTACACACTGTGTATAGATAGCTTGCTGACTGCATGACCACAAGCACCGCCGCTAAAACTTGGAAATTATATACATCGAATACATTTCCTGCTTGCGTCTCCATATCTCTGCGTCGGAAAATTGGACCCTTAGCAATATATTTTTATCTAATATCGCCTGTGCCGATGGTGAAGCTGGCCAGCGCTTATTAACAGAATAACGTTGCATCATTTCCTACAACGTGGAAAACCAAACATCAATCTACTGGCCAAATTTACTAAGACTAAACATATCGCGGGTCATTCAAAAAATATATAAAAAAGGCTGTGTTTGATCGCGAAGTTTAACCAGGGAGTTTTTTTGTGTCTCCCATGCCAAGGTCCCAGTTCTGTTGCGCGGTGTGAAAGCGAGACATGAACGAGGCCAGACTGATACAGCCCAGGAACTCGGAACCAAGTACCTAAACTTAGGTGGGAACGTGCCCTATTATTAATCCTCAAATTTACTGTGGACGGACTCCACAGAAGGAGAGGCGGCATGGATCATGGATCACAAAAACGGGACTCTATATTAATTATTTACCATACCTGCATCCTGGTGCCCCTCGCCAGCTCCGTCTTCACGCTCAGCCTCCTCGCTGCCCACACACGCTTCATCCATTGGCCCCGGCAGCCCGCCCCCCTCGGCCGTGGCCTCGGCCTTGAGTGCAGCTTCTAGCCTGTAGACAAGATTCGCTTTCAGACCTTGGGTGTGAGCGCATTGACCTTTAATTCCTTCACATTTACGCCACTCATGATTTAATCAAAAGTGTGAAAACAGCCTCTCCCAAAAACACAGCAAGGAAAATTTTAAACGAAAAAAGCTTGGAACAGTTGGGCCTAAATTGATGGTCAAACCGCACTGTAAGTAACAAACTGTTACTAAAGTATCCCGTCATAAACGCAAAGGTATATGGAACGAGTCATTTTTATTTCCGAACCAGCTCGAAAGATCAATCTAATTGGCTAACAATATGAGAGCGGTGATTGGGCACGCAGCCCGTGCCGATAACGAACTGTACCCCCGTCCGAATTCCATCCACCTGTGACATGTCAGTCAGAGGTTTAGTCGATGACGCAATTGTGATGATGCAGTTTCAAGTTACCCCGTAAGTTTTAAGTGAATTGCTGAATAGCAGTCTCCTGGGAGCTGCTGTTGTCCAACTCCCGGATCCCAGCTACTGAGAAGGCATCACCACTGCCAAAATTATAATTATAGAATTCGACCTGAATCAGTTTACAGGACACAGAATTGTTTTTCATTTTCTCCACGACACGCAGTACAGTCAAGTACGTAACAGTACGTAACGGCGAATATATGCAGAGAGTATACATGTAAAACGTGTAAACAGCTACATAGTCCACTAGCACTGCTGTAAAAAAATAGCATGGACAACAATGATTTCCATGCTCGTTAGTGCTGGTTTAGCTCTGCTAGTCCATCAGCATTGTCTCATTAATGGTGAGATGATTATTTTCCCCAGCAAGAAACTTACACATACAGCATAGCAAACTTTGGTGTTGTGCCAATAAACAAGGTATATTAAAAAATACCATGATAAAACAACTTCGACTAAACGTTAGCTAGGTTGTGGGTTAGCAAACCGTCGCTACCGCTGCTGCTGTTAAGTTAATCAGTTGGGATTAGTCATCACAAGCATTAGCAAACTGGACAAGACACTAACATATTGGGTCTGTGAAGCACAGCAAAACGAATGTTACCTATCCAAGAGAAACAGAGCAACTTCCTCATCAGTTTTCATGCCTTTCAGCTCTCGGAGGTCTCTCCATCGTTCAAACGCTTCACCGATATTAACGTGGCTCTTCGCCCTTGCCTGATCTAAGGACTTCTTTTTAAACGTTTGCGCTGCAGATCTTCTTCTCTTTGGCTGTTTCACTGCCATCGCTGTTGCTTGTACGTTAGCATGCGCGATATTAGCAGTGTGAAGCAAACAGGAATAAGGGGGGGGGGGACTTCCGGATACTGTTTTCGCTTCTTGTGTTAAAATAATAGTTCAGGTTTCACACTCGATTAATTCTGTTCCATAAATTCTGATCACTGGAAATGTCTATCACATGTTATTTATTTATTAAGCAGACTGTTACTCTTACATCACTAAGTATGCATGTATAAACTCTGTAATTGTTTGATTGTGTATATGAGAAAACCATTGATTATTTGCATGGTGTTCAGAAGTTTCATAAAGCATTCCAGCCTGTTCATTCGATTGTACATGATTTATGATCAATGCAATTGTTCATTTAACATAGCTCTACTGGGAGAAAAGAAACCTACTACTGAAACTGAAAATGCAATTTAACAGATTAAAACAAATAAAACAAGTACTAAGGGTGTTAATAATATTTTACAAATCTAGCAAAAGTATTATGTGACCAACATGACTTTGCACACGTTCCAGTGTGGATCATTCACTATAATGAGTTTGACACCCCTGGATTGAATAGATCTGTAAAGACCGCTGGCAGTTGGTGAGAACAATTCCATTAACGTGGAGTGAGAGATGTTGTCTTTCATGCGGATCTTCTAGTACAAGGCGTGAACGTCTTTAAGAGTGATAATGGGGGAAGGGTGTGGTTGAATTAGGGAAATGGGGGAGCCAGATGGAATGGTGAAGGAGGAGGTAGGCAGGCATGGGGAGGGGGGAGACCAGACATTTTGTTTTTCAAACCTGCAGTAAAATTGGTTCGGCTGATTGGCCAGCTGGGGCATAGCCTCACAGCTAGATGGCTTCTTCTTATAACCTGTGATCTTTCAGGCTATTGCAGGATGTAGGAGAGTCTTTGGCAGAAAAATGGTGTTTGAGTCTGTTTCAGTAAGCTTTTTTGGCTCCTTCCTTTTTGGCTTCCTTTTTGCCAGGCAAGCCCTCCTCCGTAATCTTGAACCAGTAGGATGGTTCCTTTTTTGAGTTCAGACGTGGACAAGGGTTTAGTATAATATTTATCAGTGGAAATACAGGCCAATATCACTACTTAACTAAACCAACGAAACATGGAATTGCACAGAATTTTATTGAATTAAATTCTACTTCCTGAAATTCCAATTGAATTGAAATTCTGTTTCCTGTGGGGTTTTTCCAGTTCAGTTCTATTTCCTGATTTGACTTGGAATGGGTAAGTTCATTTATTAATGCCCCAACCCTGCTCTGTTGAATACTCACTAAGGGACAATATTTATCAGTTTAAATAACAACAGACAACCTCCCAGTTATTAACTTGCTGGTTGGCTAATTGGTTACAATGGTTACATAATTTAAACTTGGACTTGACTTTATTGATCCCTTTGTAGGGGGGGGGGGAGAATTGTTTGGTACAGCAGTAGGTAAACAGCTAAAAATCAATTACAGTAATGAAAGAGCTATAAAATGTATGTAGTAATATAAATTGCATCAAGATTGATATCACTCAAATGTAGAGCATTCGAGATCTGCAGAAATCTCCTGCATGACATTATTTGTTGAGGAAGTGGAAAGCTGTACAGTTTGGACCTCCTCCAACAACTCAATGTGGAGCATTTTCTGAGTCCCATGTAAATAACTACTACAGTGAATGATATCAGTTTGGTTGTAGTGATGTCGCTCCATGTGTTTTTCTGGCCCCATAGGCATCGCTGTGGTTGAAACTTCCTTGGACAACATCAGCAGAAAAGAGCTGAAACAACTTGCCGGCTTGCAGACTGTGTGTTGCGGCTCTTCATCTGACTCATCAGCGGTGTGCCATCTCATTTCAGAGGTGCCAAAGTAAGCAACACTTCCTAATTCAGTCTGAGCTTAGGAAGCGGTGTCATACGTACAAAGTGTAGTGCAAAGTACAATGAAATTCTTACTTGAATCCACAGGATACAGACTATTAACAGGACAGTGCAGTTATAATACAAAAATCACTAAATAGGGCTGGGCGGTGTGAGATATTAATATCGATATGCAAGTTATGCACATGTAATTCCTACATCACTCATCGCAGAAGAGTGGCAGCTGTTACAGCTGCAGAGGGGGGAGCAGCTACATAACGATGCCTGTAGGATTTAGAATGGGATGTCATAAAAGTTTCTGTAGGTGTCCCAATACTTTTGTTCAAAGAGTGTATGTAAATATCAGTTATAATGGTGGTACCCGGCTAGACCGTTCCATAAGTTTGTGAACCACTGCTTTAGATGAACATTTTCCACAGACTAAAAACAATGATTAGAATCCCCCCTGTCAACCCTCCAGTCAACAAGTTTTAACGGCAGCTGTTTAGCGGATCATGCATATATTATAGGAGTTTGGATGCAAAGATGAACTGAGTCTGGAATGCAGGTAACATGAAAATCCTGAATGGGAGCTTTTATTTACAGCTACAGACATAACTCATATCCACTACCTGACGAACCCGCCACCAGGGGGCAGGTCATCTCCCTGCGACTCCTTAAAGGGACAGACAACCACCGACACAATGTTTTTCTTTTACTTTGAGACTACAGAATGGAATGTGGGCCACATGTGGAGGATATCGATGGTCTTATATGGTCACTGTATAACAAATTAATATTAACTTCTGTGTGGTTAACACTGAGCCCAGCAAGAAGGTAGGGTGCTTCTCTAATGACAAGCTCTGCATTACACCGTATTTGTAGGAGCTGCTAAATCTTCTGAGGATGAGGAGGAGCTACGGCCGGGCCAGAGAGAGCTGAAGTGCGGGCTCAAGGATGCAAAGAGCTGCTTCAGGAAGAGGAGGAAGATGAAGGAGAAACTTCAACAAAACAGTGTGAACAATGTCTGGAGAGGCTTGAGAAGTGTTTCCAGATGGCTTCTCATCTCAACCGACCAGGTAAGAATCGAGTTGAGGAAGATCAGGGTGAGGAAAGCTGCTGGACCAGATGGCATCAGCTCCATCAAGGGCTGCGTAGACCTTCAACCTCAGCTTGAGCCAGCAGAGTGTCCTGCTCCCGAGGAAGACCTCCCATCTAGTGGCAGTACCAAAGAATGTGCTCCCAAAGGTAATGAATGACTTCAGACTGGTGGCACTGATATCACAGCTAATGAAGACTTTGGAAAGGCCTGTCCAGGCCCATCTCAGGCCCCTGCTGAATTCTTCTATGGACTTTCTACATTTTTCCTATCAGCTGTCTACTGGAATAGATGACAATATAAACTCTTCTAAGTCAACATTGTTTTTAGTAGTACTCTAGTCTTTATATATTCAAACATTGTACATAGTAGAAACTTTTTACAGGTCTTGTAACTCTACCAGCTCCATTTCATATATAATGTCATTTACTCGTTTTTTATACTGTCGTCTCTCTTTGGTATCTTCTTGCTAGTCGCCTGGCTAGATGTTTCGGGACACGGCGTGCTGGATCTGGACTCGGGTGTGCAGTATGCCGTGGCCGACGAAGTGTCAGCAAGAGAGCTGCTATCCTCCAAGTAAACAGAAATGCTGTCTCCCATAGCAGCTGTTTCGGGTTTCCTGGATCATGTCGGCATCCTCCTGTGTAATAAAATTCAACACTGCTATAACAGCTGGCCAAGCTTTTGGCAGTAACTCACGGCAATACAAAGTTAACATACGCAGGGGTGCGTTTCCCAAAACCTTCTCAACGCTACATCATTCGTAATTTCTACCTTAAGTTGTCTCTTAATGCTCTGACGTGTTGCCCGAAATGTTCTTAGTTAAGTATATCTTCTGTAAGATATTCTTTGGTAAGGTTGGTCTGAACCTCCTTTAGCTGTCTCTCATCACTGTTGTCAGATCATACTGCTGGTGCCCTCCACTGTTCGGACCGCACACCTCTGAAGTCAGCATTTTCACTCAGCAACATCACAAACTGCGAAGCAATATGCAACCCTAATAATTCAACAGTTGTAGTTGGGTAATTGTACAGTTTGTCAACAACAATACATTAATGGGAGTGTCGTTACAATAAATCAATTTGTTCATAATGATGGATGCATGCTGCACACAAGTCGTACTTGCATTTCAAATTATATTGGCTAAAATGAAACAAGCCGGCAAACAATCAGAGGCTAAATGGGCAGGAGCCTCTCTAGACACCACGTCAGATGCAGCACTGCTGCAAATGTTTCAGCTCCCCGAGTCTAATCAGACCCACTCGATGTTGCCACGGTCTCAGCCCAGAAATCCAGCTTCTGGTGGCTCTGTGCTTCTACACGACAGGAGGTAAATGGATATGGGTATGAGCTGAGCAAGTGCACTGTGAGGAGGGCGTCCAGGCAGTGACAAACATCCTCCTATCTCATGTGAGACATCACATGTCTGCCCTCTGCAAGACATGAGATCATGGAGGCGAACGAAGGGTCCCTTGCAACAGCGGGTATCCCCCAAGTCCTAGGTGTAGTGGTCGGGACACTCATCCGGACTGCAAACCCATCCACGATGGACCAGTCCTTCATTTCCCAGAAGGGGTTTGCAGCCATCAATGTCCAGGTGGTGGTCGACACAAGTCGGGGGATGTGGTGGCCAGGGAGCACCCAGGGTAGCTTTGCGTGGGCCAGTTCAGCCGTGGCTCCCAATGGATGGATCCCGAACAAGGGATCTGTTCCTCAGAGGCAGCGGCTACCCCCTCCAACGGTACCTCCTCACTCCAGTCAGCAATCCAGTGATGCAGGCTGAACAGCACTACAACAGTGCTCACGCCTGCCCCCGCCACATCGTCGAGCTCGCATTCAGCCATTGGAAGTAGCGATTTTGGTGCCTGCATAAGTCGGCTGGAGGGCTGTGCCATTACAGTTATGACAGCCATGCTGCACAATATCGCCGTTGGCACGGGAGCACCTTCGCTTGAGGAGGAGGAGGAGGGAGACAGCAGTGTCCACAATCCCCCTAAAGGACGAGCCGCCCTTCACGCTGCTGGAATGGAAGGAAGACGCCATCTCATCCAAGCAGTTTTTGTCTCCCGCTCAGACACCAGTCACACAACCTTGTCCCTTTTCAGACTGTCCCATCCCCAACATATCCCCCACCCCCTGCCAATGACACAGTCCTACATTGGTTTTTTGCCCCTTGCTATGCCTGTATTAATCTGCCGGTCACCCTTCCACTGCATGGCCACAATTGCTCACTAGGAACGGTGCCAGACTCACCCCAAGGACCCAGAATGCCCTACTGACTGCCCCCCAAATGGGACAAATAACTGATTTAGCACAGCGGGGTGTACAAATCCAGATTAGGGGCACGCCTCACCTTTACTTTATTTGGTACACTGCGTTGCTTTGACATTGTGGGATTAGGCAGCATCCAGTCATTTCCCAATATTATCAATCTAAATTACCCAACTTCCAAATGTCAATTGTGAGATTGCACTAGGGTACATGGCCAGGTAAAAGGGGTCTAGCAAGTCCCATTGCCATTGGTCATCGCAAGGTCACCAACATACACAGGTATTGGTGCACACCAGCCTTTATTGCAACAAATGAAAGATACTCTTCATTTAGGAACTTTTGCCGACCTGTTGCTATGGCCATGTCACTGGTCCTGCGATTGCCCAGCATCTGTAATGTGATCAGAGACAGGCTTGAGAAAAACGGTCATGCACATGATTGGAGTGCATTTACCGCCGTGAATAGACTTACCTTGACTTGGTAGTATGATGGGCACTGAAATGTGTGGCTTCTGGAACTCTGGCTCAGCTAGGGCATGTTGTCGCTGCATGAGGTCTAGCTTTGCCCTTTTCAACTCCAGCGTGGCCCACGCTAGGTGGTTGGCCTCTTGTAGCTCTCTCTCTATCCCCCGCAGCACCTCCAGCTTCTCCTTCTCCAACCTCACCAGCTCCTCACTGCAGTCGCACTGGATGGATTGCCGCCTAGTCTTGCCTTGAGGCCTGGGTAGTCGGCGCAGTAAGACTGCAGTGGAGCCTGGTGACCTTGCGAAGGGGTGTGGTGTGGGTGGTACCGGAGAAGCTGCGCCACTGCTGGAGGGGGAGGAGGCTGCAGAGGTGGGGGGGGGTGAGGATGACCTGGTCTGAGGGTTACATCTGACACCTTCCTCTGCTCTGACATCAATGCCCCCCGAGATGCCCTGGGAAGCTGACTCTCCCAATATCTCCAGCACCTTTTCCTCATTGGGGGTGAGTGCAGACACAGTGCTGGGGCCCCCACCTGTCTGCTCCCGGTCTCTCCGGACTGTGGCACCTCTGGCCTTGGCCACACTGGCAAAATCATGCCACTTCTTTCTTACGACGTCCCACTCCCTCTGTGGGCTGAGGCTGGAAGCTGCCATCTTTCTAGCAATGTCCTCCCAGAGCTGTTGCTTGCTTTTATTGGACACCGTGCTGCGGAAACTAGATAGTAACGTGTCCCTGTGCAGCGCCACCTCCTCTAGGAGGATCTCCATTTCTGTGGCGGTGAAGCTGGGGGCCCGCTTCTTCCGTGGCTTCTTTCCTGCCATGGTGCACTGTTTCTGGGTGGATGCAGTACTTTTATGGCACACATCAGCCAATCGCGGACAACTGTGGCTTACGCAAGTACTGTGATGGGACTGCTAGTTAATTAATGCTCACTACAAAGTTCTTTGATGCCCCGGAGCAGGGGAATTTCATTGATTACACGGCTGAAAAGCCGTGTTGCCAGGTGACGTGCCAGTGGAGGTGTGATACTGGAATTTGAGGAGGTGGGTGCGTGTCTGCGATCGACAAAATGTACATGTTCGGTTAGATAATTCTGCGTCTTTATGTTGCATTTTTATGTTGCCACTAGTTCTGATTGACGCAATATTTTGGAGCATTCCTGTAGTGATTTATTTACAGAGATAGGGCTGGGTACCGAACTTCGGTACTTTTGCAGTACCGACCAAAACGTTACGATCCTATTGAGGATCAAAAAATTAATTACCTTTTGGTGCCAATCTCTGATACCCACACAGTAAATCTTACCATTTGTGGGTGACCAGTACCAAAACCGCCAAACCAGCAGGGGTACTTTTTTGGTAGTTTGGGGTGGGACTTTGTTGACTGGTTATGCAAATAGCCTGCCTCAAACACAATACAACAACAGTCTAGAAAAAAAGTGCAAACTCAGAAAACGATAGAGGTAAAAAAAAAAAATAAAAAAAAATTGTGAAAGTTGTGAAAAGCAATAACATATGCGTGAACAAATGAAGAAATGATTAAAGCTTTAATTGCAATCTGGTCAGAATAACAGATACAAGATCAGCAGCATATCAAATTTCAAACATCAAAATGTGATTTTCTTGTAATAAAAACTGGGGTATTTATATAGCAAAAAAAATATAAAAATATCAAATTTCTCACAAACCCATCTAGGAATGAGTTAAACAAGGATGAGAACAATGATGATTGTCAATTTTTTAATCCAGCACAAAATACCCGGCCTCACATTGTGATGTCATTCAGCTCCGGTACCAGTTCTTACGCCAGTGGAAAACCAACACCTTTAAGTATCAAAAGTATGATACCAGGTGCAGTGGAAAATCAATTTTTAAATTGATTTAAGAACATACTGGTATTGCAGAAAGTAACCAGTACTGAAATCAAGGAATCATTCTGGTGATGGTATGGAAAAATTTTAAACGAAGCCCAGCCCTATAGAGAAAACACCGCTTTCTCTCACAACGTGGTCAGGCAGGCGTGCCATGGAGGGAATAATCGATTCTCAAAGTATCGATGTCAACCAATCTTGCACAATCACCATGGACAGTGCCTTTTAAGGTCACTCTTAAGAAGCTCTCCCTTAAGCAATCTCCTAAGAGATTGTTCAGGAAACAGAAGCAGAAAAAGAAATACCTTTTGTAAAATACATCTTTAGTGTCTTTGTAACACGCCAAGAGTTATTATCGGGAAATGCACCCCAGGTCGTCTGTTTTACGTACCTTTCCTGGATTTGGCATGTTCATGTCTGTTGGTTGACGGCGCACGAAGCGATTTAGCTCTGGGTACCTCAGCACTTGATCTTCCACTGTAGATTTATCGGCTCTCCTGCCAACTAGAGTTCTCTTTGCCCTGCGGAATTTGCCACAGGCGTTTCTCCAAGACGATTTGCAAATGAGGGTCAGTGACAATAAATCTCAATAAATGTTCAGCCAGTCTCCCTTCAAAGGTTTTTTGTGACAGTAAAGCCCTTTGCTTTTATTACCTGAATATTGCAGGGCCATAGCAGAGCTGCGGACTAAATTTTTCCACTAGTAACACTGGTGCTCCATGCTGAATATTTTAGACACACATGCAATATGACACATGCACATTTTTTACTTTTTAAAACAGGCACCAAATAAATTTACAAAGATAAACATAATGTGTGTGGTCAGCCCCTATTCTGTCAGTCCATCTGTCCCTGCACACATTATGCTTCAAATTGCCGTTGTGCTTTATGAGTGTTTCATGGGACACCACCAAAATCCGAATCCTAGTTCCTGACTGAGTTCCTGGGCTGTCTGTATTAAATGTAATTGAGGTACAAAAATAATTCCATCTGCTCAATTTTTTCCCTGCACTTCCGCGTAACTTCCAAGTTAGTGTCAGTGCTTGTGGTCAGCCAATCAGCAAGTTATTGCTGTACGTCCCACCCCAGGCAGTACATCTAAGGAACTACAATCAGACCGAGTTCCTGCAGTGGAAACATGACATTAGTTCCAGGTTACGGATAGAAGTTGCTCATAAGACGTCATATTGTGAAAATGACTAATTTAATTGGAAGTACGTAGCCACCTTAATGCATGCAAAAAAGGAAAATGTAGCCAAAGGAAAGACTAATAACTGTGGCATTAATTACCTCTTGTACTCGCGGAGTTCAGAGTAACTGATTCCTTGGCCCTCGTGGGAGGGTCTCTTACATCCATAAGGCATGTGCCTGTCCTCCATCTTAACCAGCACAGCTTCCTGAGCATCCCACTCATTGGCCGGCTCTGGATGTAGGTGCTGCTGCTCTTCTGGAAACTTAAAACCATCTTGGTACTGCTGTCCATCCTCTTCTTTCATCTCTTTTTTCACCACAAACACTTCTGCACAGAATTAAGATTTACTAGCCATAAATTAGTCCCACAGGTGGGAAATCTGCATTTTACAGCAGCAAGGTGGACAGTGCAACAGAAATAAGGAGAATGCAGAGTCCTTAAGCAATAGCAGTAATATTAAACAGAAAATAATAAAATCAATATATAAAACAGTAATCAAAAACGGTACAATATGCTGAAAAAAATAAAGTATAAATGTAATGTAGATTATGTTGATAAATATGTAGCAACAGCAAAAATGGGACACACAATGAATTATAAAATTATGAGACACTGCTTTATGCTTCCTCTGCTGCCCCCTGGAGGATAGGCTCCCCTGTTGAGTCTGGTTCTTCCCAAGGTTTCTTCCTACTAGGCAGTTTTTGAGCTAGTCACCTCTGATTTGCTCACTGGGGGCTTTGATCAAAGTTCATTTCACTACATTGGGCGGCTGCTGTGACATAATTTTCATAAGAGTTCAGGCGCAGGGACCACGTCTGAAGGCTGCACACGAAGGTGGATACTACTCAAAAATTGAAACAGCGTGGACAGTCCGTTCCGTACTGCAACACACCGCTGTCGTTCATTGGCCAGAGGAAAACTAGCATAAAGTCAGGAAGGAGATCAGACCAAAGATTATATACTAACACCTTTTCTACCCTCTGAAAAGAAACAGCTAGCAGATTTGAAGAAAGTCCATAAATACCAGCATTTATGAAATTCCTCACTGTGAGACTAAAAAAATTCCAAGATGTCTGCAAACTAAAGTAAAATACTTTGGATCACTTCCAGTTTGTCACTCATAAAATGTGTCTGCAAAGTTTTTAAAAAGATCTATAAAATAATTTAATATTTTTGGTTTTGAGTGACTGTTAACAAGGCCACGTGTCTTCTACAGCCGTCTTTCCTTCCTTTGCTGCCACACAGCTCTGCTGCTAATTTTTTTTGGGAATTTGTCTCTAAATAAAATCAACTGTATATTTTCATCCATATAATGTTTTTTTCTGAAGCAGTAATAAGATCCATCAAATACTTTTTGACGTATTACATTCATAAGGTCACATCACCTACTTTCACCCTTCCCTTTGCTGCCATCAAGTGGCAGTGCTTCAATTTTGGGATGAGTTGTCTCAGAATTAAATATTCAGTTCTTCATTGTAACAACGGGTCTATAAAGTGGGGCTGTCAGTATCAATTATATCAGTTAGGGCTACTGCGATTAGTCAATGCAGTTCATCATGTCGACACTGAAAATGCATTGACATCAATATTTTAAATCGATGTATCTTTTTTTAAATTTTATTGAAATTTCTAAAATCGAAGTTCATTGCATTGTTGTTTCCTTAATTTACTTTGGATGGGAGCGACAGATATAAAGACGGCATGGATTAACACTGAAACTGGACAGTATATCAGATACCTGCATCCTGGTAGCCCTTGCCGGCTCCGTCTCCGTGCTTAGCCTCCTCGCCGCCCACACACGCTTCATCCATTGGCCCCGGCGGCCCGCCCCCCTCGCCCGTGTCCTCGGCCTCGAGTGCCGCCTGCAGCCTGTCAACGAGATCCGCTTTCAGGCCGCGGGTGTCCAGGCCTCGCCGCTGGAGTTCCTCTATGAGTTCACTGACCATTCATTTCTGCACGTTTACTCCACTCATGATTTAGCCAAAAGCGTGAAAATTGCCTCTCTCCCCAAAACACTGCAAGGAAAATTCAACAAACACAAAAAAACGCGGTCACCTAAATCAAAACACCATGGTAACCAACACACGTGCGTCTAATTCAGCACTACAATCGGCCTATTTTACTAAGACAAACTATTTTTTGCTTAATCATTTGGAAGTCTGTTCTTGTATTAACTATGCATGGCCGAGTCGCACTTCATGTCATTAAATCAGGAAATGTTACTAAAACCGTCCGGATACCCAGCAAACAGGAGAGCTATCATTCGCGTCCACAATTTCCAACCCAGTTTAGTAATCCACGCCCCCAGCTGTGTGATCAAGCAATCGTTTTTACAGGCTAACGCTGTGACAACTGATAACTTCCACGATGTGATTTTTAAAAGCGCACTTTAATGTCTGGTTCATGAGCAACAGTAAACCTCATAATATCCAACTCCAGAATAGAACAGATTTGAAGTTTGCTTTTAAAAAACATAATCTTCATTTCAGTAAACAGGATTAATTTTGATCAGTTTAATATTTAATAACTGTATTTGGATGTCTTGATTATAAGTTTTGGAAGCTTTGCATATTATGAATAATTTTACAGGTTTCTGTAGCTACAATAAATGACCCCTGCTTAACATTTACTTATATCGGACGGTGGTGCAGAACGAACGACGTTGATCCAATAGGCAACGCTGTATTTATGATTATGTATCTGTGGGAAAATTGTCCTTTCGGGAGTGTGACTACAACAGGGATCTGAATTGTGGTTCGCCTGTGCTATGCGAAGTGCCGTATTGAGGAAGAACGGGGAGCACAGATTGGCTTGTGTTCCTTACAATTTCTTCACCTGTACAATTTGACCACAAAGCGTGTGAAAGATCCTTCAAAATACTTCATGAGTTACGAGAATGTGTTTATGGTGCGAAATCGATCCTAAAACCACGTGGATAATTATATCCATATTGGTTTTTAAAAGAAATTTTGATTAATTTTTGTTTTAGGGGTTTCCTTACATTTCCTTGCACGAGACAGTTGATTGCTTATTTTTTATACAGTACTTATTTTTTCAACTAGTGGCATACAACAAAACAATACAATTCATATGACATTTGTTGATTCGAATACTAAAATGTGCCTATTGCAGATAGAGTAATTTTGGATAGGCTCAAAACGTTTAGCTGATTTAATCTGTGAAAATAAAACGTGCTGCAATAACGTAAGATTCGCAATAGAATGATAATCTAATAAAACTACAATTCCCACGATTATCTGAATAGCGCGTCATTTCCTGTTCCTGTCGTGTCGAGTGAACATGGCGCCTTTCGTGTGTTCGGTTGTTCCTTGTGATAATTGATTTCAACCTGAAATACATTCTACAGAGAGATCAGTGTCATATCCAGGTTAGATAAATGTTTTTTGCCCGATAATATGTGGTTTAGCAAGCTATGATTTGGAATAATACTGCCTTAAATCTATTTCCGATAGCATCATCATGAGTCAGTTAGCTACGTTACGTTATGTATCAGTCCTATCTATTTTATCATTATATTTCTTCAATACGAAAAAAGAAATGTCGCATACTTTTTAATACACGTTCGCAAAGATATTTACGACAGATTTTTTTGATTGGATTTGTTTCTTGACCAATATTGAAAGTAGCCAACTTATGAAGTAGTTTTTCATTTATTTACACCTGTCTTAAATACGAAACTAAAAACGTAACAGTGGACTTATTGCATTGTGAAAAATCTCTCAACAGCAGCATTATTTTTAGTTTGAAACACATTACTGAGTATTTTGTCTCTACGCAAAATAATGATAGTTAAAATAGAGTTAAAGTCGTGTGCGCGTTTGCTGTCTTTGAAGGACTGTTTCTTCTTATTAGATCCACTGATACTTGTATGTCAGGATGGCTTCGGGTAGTGGGGAAAATGCAAGCGTGAGGACGAGGGTGGCTTCACAGTTCTTCGCCGGGGAAGAAGATGCTGCTATTGACATGACCACTAGTGAAAAGGTATAGTCTCTTCACCCGGTGTTACAAAATGTCTTGTAATGGATGTATCTTTTTGCCTTGGTTTAAGTTTTGTGGTTAAATCATTTTGATTTCTCTTTTTAGGTTGTGGATCTGTTGAACCAAGCTGCACTGATATCAACTGAGAACAAGCTTACAGTTTTGAAGCAGGTTGTTGATGAGCTGTTATTACAGGATGAAAATCTTTATCTTTCATTCCTTATCTGAAAGACTTTGACACATGAAACCATTCCTCTATGCAAGTGTATTTTGTGTTTTTTTTTTTTTTTTTTTATTTGCTGAAAAGTTTTTAAGTTATTTTTGAGGTAACTTATTTGTATTCTTTTTAATTTCAGGTGCAGGAACTGATAATTAATAAAGACCCTTCACTTCTCGACAATTTTTTAGATGTAAGTTCTGTTTGTAGCATGTAGCTGAGGCAATTTTTAAAAATAAATATTAAATATAGTGGTAGTTTCACCTCTAGGGTTGCAGGTTCTAGTCTCACCTTCACTGTGTGTGGAGTTTGCATATTCTCTCCCTATTGTGCTGGTTTGCCCTGGGCACGCCGATTTTCTCCAGCAGTCCAAAAACGTGCAGTTAGGATAAATGGCATCTGTAAATTTATGATCGCATGTGCCCTGTGATGGTATCCGTATCTTGTAGCATTTGGAATTTCCCTTATTTCTGTTTTACAGGAAATCATAGCTTTCCAGACTGATAAATCGATGGAAGTTCGGAAATTTGTAATCGGATTCATTGAGGAGGCCTGGTGAGTTTAAATCCCCCATATGATTATTAAAACTGCACTTGACACAGTGGTACCTCAGAACTCGAACTTAATCCGTTCAGAACTCCGGGTTGAATCCTAAAAAGTTCGAGTTTTGATCAAATTTTCCCCATAAGAAATAATGGAAAACCAATTAATTGGTTCCCAGCCCCCAAAAATTACACCTAAATATGTTTTTTAGCATTTAAACACAAAATGAACTGGATAAAACAAGAAGAGCATATACTGTACTAAACACATATAAGCACATTTATCAAAACAGTAATTTAAGTAAGAAAATAAATATATCCAAACAACGTGTCCTGCCCCAATCGTCCGCTCCTTCCGTGTGCCACACCCCCTCTTTAACCCCGTGTGGAATCCCCGTGTGATCAGCTGTTTCTGGTTGTTGTCATTAATCCTCTGTATTTCGTCCGCGTTTCAGTTTGTTTCCCCAGTCCAGTCATTGTATTGTCCTTCTGCGTTTTGCCTGCCTTACCTGTAATTAAACCCCGTATTCCTGATACCCTGACGTCTGCGCCTTTGTCTCCGTTCTGTCCCCGCTCGGCATGACAATATTATTATAAATGTATTAATTGTTTATTATTAATATAAAAATAATAAGAAATCTTTATTTTTAATTGTATTTTATTATATAATAATAATTACTGTCTTTCATTGTCTAAATGTATTTTTACTGTCTAAATATATGTATTCAGCTAGTGTAAATATGCATTATGCTATCACAGCGAATGCGAGGCTGAGGCTGAAGCGTTACCCTTTGTTTCCGCTGAGAGATGTGCCGCGTGACTCATTTCCCCGCGCGTACAAGTTATCTTAGGTCGGCGTTCACAGTTTGACTTCTGAGATTCAGATCGAGTTCTATGTCATTTTTTTTTCGAACTGGTTGGTTCAACTTTTAAGAAATTCCAGTTCTAATGAGTTCGAGAACTGAGGTTCCACTGTATACTTCTTTGTTTGAATGGTTTCAATATTTTATGGTTTTTAAATATGAATAGCCGCAAGTGTTGTCTTTCTTTTCCATCATCTGAAAAATGAGTTCTCATTTGTTTTTTCCACTCATGATATGTAAGCAGCACTGATTATACTTTTCAGTAAGAGGGATAATGAGCTGCTGCTGAAGCTGATTGCCAACTTGAACATGCTACTGAAAGATGAGAGTGTCAACGTGGTGAAGAAGGCCATCCTTACCCTCACGCAGCTCTATAAAGTGGCCTTGCAGGTGTTAATCCTCGTACCTGTTACATGGCTTCCACAACATAGCAAGCATTTCATGGAAGTGTATGCAACACACAAGCTATACAAGCTGCCACATACACTGCTCCACCCTGTCCTGCTCTTGACAAGTTTTCCGGAATGTTCTGAGCGTTGCCTCTTTTTCTCTCCGCCAGTGGCTGGTGCGCTCCAAGGTGGTGTCTGACATGCAGGAGGCCTGCTGGGACATGGTGACGCAGATGAAAGGGGATGTGCTGGCCCTCTTGGACTCCGATAACGACGGCGTGCGCACCCATGCCATCAAATTTACGGAGTCGCTCATCATCACACTGTCCTCTCGGACGGCAGACTCCGATACGCCTCGTCGTCAGGAGGGCGACATCAGTCTGGACAAGATACCAAAAGATCATTCGTATATCCGCTCTGGTGAGAGTGGTACTAGGGTGGATACCCTGGCATATTCCGGGGGGGGGCGGGCAGAATTCCTAGCTATGCCATTGGCTCGACATTTAAATCTCAAACCTTCCGTTTTTTCTTTTTTGGATAGCGATGCTCCAATCTATCAGCCACTGATCATTCATACTAAATACAGGCCGTCGTCGACTTATGACATATGCGACTTATGACTGATCGACTTTACGACTGTTTCGAGGCCACAGATATGTGGCGCGGCTGGCACCGCGAATGTTGCCTAGCATGAGTGTATGGCGGTTTCCGCCCCAGCTGCTGCCGGTGCGAGCATCTCCACGAGAAAATGGTGATAAGGTTTAAAAAAAAAAACGCCAAACAATATGACTTAAAGATGATATAATTTTATTGTGCAGTTTATTATACGTATGATAATTTCCGCTTATAAAATAAAGGGCCGAGTTATGACCATATAGACTTGTGATCGGTCAGTCGGAACTGATTGTGGTCGAAAGTTAACGCCGACCTGTGGTTTGATTTTCACTCCCCTTCAGGCTGGTCAAAAGAGTCAGTCAGGTGACAAAATACGTGAGACTCATCTCTGTGGATGGCAAAAGAAGCTCGATAAAATGGCCTTACTGGTCTGGCAGTTCTACAGGGTGTCCGAAAAAGACAATAAAATCGCTATATGCAATGTTTGTGAAGCAGAAATCCCTTGTAGTGGAACGCAACAGTAACATTTTAATACGACAAACCTCAGTAGACATCCCCCTCACCCACCCTGTGATCAGCGATTGGTAATCAGTTTGTGCCAATTCTGATTCAAGCAATCTGTGATCTGCCCCAAAAAGCCAGATCAGAGCATCCCTAGTTTTGAACATTTCTAAACACGGTTTCAATTTTGTGTAACAAGACAAAATGTGACATGAAAACATCATTTTATATTGTTGGCCTTTGAAAGATCACCTGATGCCATTTTGTGTTTCGTTCACTCAGAAACACTGTGTGAGGAGGGAAAGTCGGCCTTAGAACAGCTTCTGAAGTTCATGGTGCACCCTGCGATTTCCAGCATTAATCTGACCACCGCCCTGGGCTCCCTGGCCACTGTGGCCCGGCAGCGGCCCATGTTCATGTCGGATGTGGTGCAGGCCTACGAGACTCTCCACGGTAAGCCGTCAAACGGGTCAGCTGCCAGGACGCTCGCACGTGGAATAGTGATGTGTCCGGAACATCAGTTGGGTCACGTTTTGTAAGCTCAACAGGGATTTGATGACGTCCTTTTCAGCCAACCTGCCTCCGACGCTGGCCAAGTCGCAAGTGAGCAGCGTGCGCAAGAACCTGAAGCTGCACTTGGTGTCCGTCCTGCGACACCCCTGCAGCCTGGAGTTCCAGGGTCAGATCAGCACGCTGCTGCTGGACCTGGGCATGACACAGGGCGACATCACCCGCTGCACACCGGCCCCGCGCGACGTACGCAAGCGTGCCCGGCATGACGCCTATACAGAGGGCAAGAAGATCAAGATGGGTGAGCTCCGGGTCGGGGAGGGAGTCTAGCTCCGTGCCATATGGCCATTATGCTGTAGGAGAAGATTCAGCCAGGCTTCTATTTTCTCCAGAGCCCAATCTCATAGAAGATGACGAAGATAAAGAGGACCCCCCACCAGTGTCATCCCCAAAGCCGTCGCTGGTCCCAGGATCCCAGTCTGCCATCGACCTTACTGCCGACTTCCTGCTCCCGCTGCTAACTCCGGAGAACGTCGCCAACCTGGTAGGACGCGGGACCTCGGGGGGCCGGGGGGAGGTTGTGCCGACCGGCAGCTCAGTCACAGCTCTTCTGCTCATTCTTCTGCCCGGACTAACCGTAGCCATGTGTCTGCAGGTGCTGATCAGCATGGTGTACCTTCCTGATGCCATGCCAGCCTCGTTCCAGGCCACCTACACGCCTGTAGAATCCGCCGGCACCGATGCTCAGATTAAGCACCTGGGCAGGCTCATGGCGACCCAGATGACCTCAGCCGGAATTGGGCCCGGTGAGAGAGTCGCCTCTGAGTCCCACATCCCCAATTGAGTTGGTGGCAAAATTTAACACGTACATGGAATGGCTGGGGGGCCCCTGAGGAGAGATTTTGGAAGTGAAGCTGTGTCCATCTAGCTATCTGGCAAGACAGCAGTAATTATTTTAGAAGATCGGAAGACATTCTTCTTAGCTTTTATTGTTACTCCTCATTTACATATGTTCCATGTCAAATTGTTTTTTTTTCCCTTAGTAAATACACACGTACTACCAGATAAATAGCCTTAAACATTTTATGACTTCAAAGACCTTTGCAGAATACTGTACATTAAGTAAGTAATTCATTTATAAAGCGCATATTTCAGACAAAAAGTCACACAGTGCTATACAATAGTAAAACAGGGAATACAGAATACAAAACTAGAGAGACAAAGTATAAAACAGTACATAAACAGCAAACAAATGAATAAAACATGCTGTAAAAACAAAACAAAGATAAAACAAAGATCACTCAGCTCTGAGTAAAAAGAAAGGTTTTGAGCTGTTTTTTAAGAGACCACTGAAACAACAGTGTGCAAGCCATATGGCAAGTTGTTCCAGAGCCTAGGTACCACTGCCTGAAAAGCACGATTGCCACGAGTTTTCAGTCAGTTACGAGGGACCACTAATAGGCCCTGCTGTCCAGATCTGAGCTCCCGACAGGCTGCAGTTGGGCAATTTATTCGGGTGCTTGACCATGCAGGACTTTAGGACTTGAGCACCAGGACTTTAAAATGAACTCTAAACTGTACTGGAAGCCAATGCAGTGAGTACAGGATAGGAGTGATGTGGTCTTTTCTGTTACAACGGGATAAAAGCCTATCAGCTGCATTTTGAACCAACTGAAGGCATGAGAGGGAGGTCTTACTCAAGGTTGTATATAGGGCATTACAGTAGTCGAGTCGTGATGAAATTAACGAAGGGACCAGCATCACCGATTCTGGTTTTGTTACAACAGACCTTAATTTAGACAGATTTTGTAGGTGAAAAAAACATGAAAGGCTGACAGAGCTTACATGGGAGTCAAGGCTTAGAGACTGATCCAATGTAACCCCAAGATTATGGAGGCTCGACCTAGATGCAGGAGAGACAGAAGAAAGCTTTAGGCTGATCTCGGATTGGAGGCTGGGGGGGCTACAATTAACATCTCAGTTTTTCCAGAGTTCAATTGTAGGTAATTGAAACTGCACCAGTCCCTCAACTGAGACAAGCAGGCAACCAGAGTGGATAGTTTGTTCAATTGAGAGGGTTTAGATAAGAAATGGATCTTAATATCATCTGCATAAAGGTGGTATGAAATGCTCTGGTAGCACTTGAGGATCAGAGATAGAGGGAAAATATAAAGTGAAAAGAGTAACGGACCGAGAACCGAGCCCTGAGGCACCCACATGTCATAGGCGCAGTGTCAGATGTAAAATCAGCCACACTGATTGAGAAGCTCCGATTGGTAAAATAGGATAAAAAGCTGAATCGGAAATGCCCACTAACTGCTCTAACCCATTCATTAAAATCTGATGGTCCACCGTGTCAAATGCTGCACTGAGATCCAACAGAACAAGCACAGAACACAGGCCCACATCAGCAGCAATTAATAGATCATTAAGAACTTAATGTATGTAAGCGATGATAAATATAATGTCAGTTGACTGAAAGTAAATAGACAATATGCATCTGGATGTTTTATCATTCAGGTTCAGTACCTTCCCTGGTGTTTTAGCTGAACTTGCCTTAATAAGCATTATTTATAGTTAACTTATAATGTTGTTTAAAAAAGAATCAAATGAGTAGCCAAGGAAAGAATGATGGAAGTCTGAGGACAAGGATGAGCAGTGGGTATCTTGCTGATCAGTTTGGCCTTCTGTTTTTTTTTTCTCTCTCTCTCGTGACCCATGATTTAGAGTGTTTCTCAATGCCAAGAACCCAAAGATTGTGCTTGTGTTCTTGGCAAGAACGGTCTTGTTAATTTGCCTCCCAAGAACGAACTTTGACGCAATGACTCATGGGATTGGTCTTGCTTGGCGAGGATGCAACCGATGTATCCTTGATATCTGGGACAGGGCCAGAATGACATCTGGGGATTTATACCACCCTCTGTGCTTCTTTTCTTAAGTATTGGAACTGGTCTTCGGCAATGGGAGATATACAATAAATGTGTAGACGAGAACACAAGTATGGGCAAGTATGTGTATTGAACACCCCTTGTCTCTGCTGTACAGGGCTGGAGCAGTGCAAGGCGAGAGATGAAGAGATGAAGGAGGGGGCAGAGGAAGAGGGTGGCCCTGAATCTTCATCAAGCGCCAGGGACCTTTTGATCAAGCGCAAGGTGTCCGCCGTGTCCTTGGGACAGGCGATCTCCGTGCTGGGGGCTTATGGGGGCAAGAACCAGCCCAGCGATGTGGAGGAAGCTCCCCAAGTTAAGAGACTACCTGAGCCAATCCTGCCCTCCACACAGACCAAGTGAGAACCGGTCCATCCATATTCCGACAACTCTGCTCTGTCAGTTCCTCTCACATGTGTGACCATTCCTCTGTGCCCAGAGCTCCTGGCACAACTGGACGGAAGAAGGTGTTCAGATTGGCCGACGTGATTCAGCCTCTCAATGATGTCCAGGTGGATAAGCTGACCAACATGGCAGTCAAGCGCATCCTTCAAGCTGAAAAAGCCATCGCTTGCAGTGGGATGGCCCATGTAGGTCTAGAAGACATTGCAGCCATATGTTCTCCTTCAAAAATGTATAACTTGAAATTTTCGTGTTCTGTTTGCGTAAAGATGCATCCTTTGGATGTTTTATATTTATATTTTCCCCTGGGATCAATAAAGTATAACTTGTCTTTTATAGCTTAGCTTAGCTGTTTACTATGTAATGGCCCAAGTATGGTAATGAAGGATACTCTTAGTTTTGTTGATATCCATTCATTACCACTGCCTGTTCTTTCAGTTAAGTTTATATTGTTCTTCTGTAGCTAAATTAGGCCTGTTCAATTATGGCAATAATCATATTCAAGATTATTTTAGTCGATATCGATCACGATTATTTACCATGATCGCTCATTCACTCTGGAAATGTCGTGCATTTATTTAACCTTTAAAAAACTTGTATTTTTAACAGTGGATTTCTATGAGCTAGTACAACTGAGAAAGAAATAGAAAGGGGCTGGAAAGGGGTGCGCAGGATTTATTACGCGACAAAATGGATCATGACTGCGAAACGAAATGCGGCACAATAATCGTTTTGTCTTTCTTTTGTTTTGATAATCGTTGGAAGCCAAAATCAAAATTGAAATTAAAATTCAATTTATTTCCCAGCCCTAATCTAAACCCTAATGTATGTAGTAGTTTCTGTTATATATGACTGAGGGCATCTGACAGCTGCCATGTCCGACGGAGTCACCGTGGCGGATGCGTTCCTGCAGTGTTTCTGCATCTCAGCGAGTGCCTTGCCTGGGGTGGGTCTCTCCATGCCGTGTCTAATGCCGCTGTGCTTGATCCGTGTTGTGTTTTCCTCTCCTCCCCCACGCCGCAGGTACGGGTGAAGCTGCTGTCCAGGCTGGTGACCCAGTTTGATGGCGCGATGAAGGAGGACGTGCTGCAGTTCATCTTGGAGGACATGCGTAGCCGCAGCGACCTGGCCTTCTCGCTCCTTTACCAGGAGTATAACGGCTACCTCAGCCAGCTGCCCGCCGGCTCCCTGGACACCTATGACCACTGTCTCATCACTCTGCTGTCAGGCCTGCAAGAGAAGCCTGAGCAGAGGGACGGGTGAGGAGCTTAAATCCCAAAACACCCTCTTATCCCACCTTAAATTAATCCCACTCCTGCACAGCAACAAGGACCTCTTACATAATTTTATTATTTGTCATCTCATTATTGCTGGCTGTGTGTTACCCTCTCATTTTTATGATTTGTAAAAAATAATAATACTTTTTATATGTAAGGTAGGCTTTGCCGTGAAGGCAATGTCAGCTTCTGCTGGTCATATAGACTGCATTCTTCCAAAACGTCCTGTCGTCTGTGTCCTGGACAATACAGATTAGCCTAATATGGTCCCGTCTGAATTATGACCTCGCATTCTTTCTGTTTCATTCTGCCCCAAAACGGTCAATAATTTTATTTTTCTCTTCCAATCACCAGTGGACTCCTAGTCACAGTCACGAAATATTTAAATAGTCAGCCATATTTTATCCCCACTGCAGAAGCACAGTACAGTATTGGGAATCCGCCATTTCCTTTCATGCCTAAGTGTATCAGAGCCCGTTTGGCGAGGAGTGGCTGATTGGCTCTGGGTTTATCTCTCCTACTTTTCTCTCTGTTGTTTCTCTCAGGCTGTTTACGAAGCTGGTGCTGGAGGCTCCCTTAATCACCGAATCCGCCCTTGAAGTCATCCGGCGCTACTGTGAGGACGAGGTCAGAGTTCCTGCTTATCATCTTACTCCTTAAAGTCACATCCTGGGGACGGTGCTGTTTTAATGTCTTGACTCGTCCGTTTTTGGTTTCTCCACATTTGACTTTGATACCACTTCCTTGTTCACATTTCTCTGCACTTTGGTGAGCAGTGAAGCAACAGCAAGCTATGAAACCTGTAATTTATTAGGACGTTGTGCTTTCACCTGACAAATATAATTTGTATCCGGGTTGCTTTTCTCCATATTGTTAGATGAATTAAGAATGGATCGGGCCAGTCCTGGTGCTCTAACACATGTTTGTGGTTTGCAGTCACCGGTGTATCTGGGTTTGCAGTCACCGGTGGTAACCGGTGTTTGTGTGTTGCAGTCACGGGTGTATCTGGGCATGACCACACTGAAGGAGCTCATCATGAAGCGACCCTCCAGGCAGTTCCAGTACCTGCATGTCCTGCTGGACCTCAGCTCCCATGAGAAGGAAAAGGTCACTTTCATAGTCTCGGGTCTGTCCTTAATTCAGGCACGATTGAGGTCTTGCTAGAATAGCAACAAGCAGCATTTTACACTTGGATTTACTTAATTTTATTGGCTAGGTTGCTGAAGACCTTTGACATTTCAAAAGTTCAGATGATGGTCCGATCAGTGTCAAAGGCAGATGTTCCGTGGTGTGACTCCTGCATATGTGTACAGGTGCGATCCAACGCTCTGACCTTCATCAAGCGCATGTACGAGAGGGACCAGCTGAGGGACTACATCGAAAAGTTTGCGCTGAACTACATGCAGCTCCTCGTCCACCCTAACCCCCCATCCCTACTCTTTGGGGCAGATAAGGACACAGGTGAGGGCCAGGTCATAGGCAAGCGACAGTGCAAGATCAACAGGGACCCCTTGGCGTCCCCCCCAGCCTGACGGTACTCACCTCTCGCCCCTGCAGAGGTCGCCTCTCCCTGGACTGAGGAGACTGTCAGGCAGTGTCTGTACCTGTACCTCTCTCTCCTGCCGCTGAACCACCGGCTGGTCCACGAGCTGGCGTCCGTGTACACCGAGGCCATTGCTGATATCAAACGCACCGTGCTCCGCGTCATCGAGCAGCCCGTAGGACTCTCCGATGCATTCTGGGAAACCGTCTGAACCAGCAGCTTTCCTTGCCGTGTCCATGGGTGAATCTCAATACCAAGAACACAAAGACTGTACTTGTGGTCTTGGCAAGAGCGGTCTTGTTAACTCGCCTTCCAAAAACGATCTTGCGGTGAAATGAATCATGGGATTGGTCTCGTTAGGCGGGGATGCAACTGATGTATCCTTGTTATTTGGGGCAGAGCAAGACCAACATCCGGGGATTTTTTACCGTCCTTTGTACTTGTGTTCTTAGTATTGGACCTGGTCTTCTGCAAAGGTGAAGTAAAACGGGTACATGACATCGCAAGTACGGTCAAGTGCGCATATTGAGATTCACCCCATGTCCCCTCCTCCTCCTCTGCGTTCTTCTGATGTCGGTTCAGATTTTTTCTCCTCTTCCCACTTCTCACGGTGCCTACGTCTGTGTTTCTCCTGCCGCTGCCCTCTGCTGGCCGGCTGCCTTCATGCTGTCACATGCTGACGAGTGTCATCTCTGTGCCACAGATACGGGGAATGGGGATGAGCTCTCCAGATTTGCTGCTGCTGGTGGAGAATTGCCCCAAGGGGGCGGAGACACTGGTCACACGGTGTTTGCACATCTTGACTGATAAAGGTAAAAACCACCAGGTTTGTGGATGGTAAATGAGGCTTGATGGTCCTGTCACTATAAAGACATTCACAAAGGATATGATACAGGCCGTGCTCGAGTTAAGGACCTGCGATGGACAATTCGCACTTACGATCAGACTGCCATAGTGCCTATTATATTAAAAATTCGGGCTAAATACAATGGTTTGTAATAACGAACGCACACACTACTTTGTGACACTCATCAAAACATCATGTGGCTTCAATGGTTTGTCAGCTTGAGGTACAGTACCATATGTAGGTAAATGTATTATTATTTTTTAACTATTATTTTTCCAACTTTCCTACAAATTCGACTTGGCAGACTTAGGGAACGGCTCTCGCTTATAACCCGGGGACTGTCTGTACTAAAATGTGTAGAGCAGCAGTGGCCAATCTTATCCGTAAAGGGCCGGTGTGTATGTAGGTTTTTGGTGTAACCTTTAGGTCAGCTGTTCAAACCCAGGTGTGAGGAGGACTCAGCCAATCAGTCCTCTAATTAGTAATCATAATTAGCGAGTTGCAGTGAAAACCTGCATACACAGCGGCCCTTTGCGGATAAGATTGGCCACCCCTGGTGTAGAGTATAGATGCAGGCTTTATTATTTGTCAGCGCATCACTGAAAATACTGCATTGATGTCCTGCTGAAGGGCGAAGGGTAGATCTATTGAAGTAAATGATGGAGAAGCAGTTTTGAGTGCTGATTGAAGCCTTCTGTGCCGTAGTACCTCCTTCTCCAGAGCTGGTGGAGAGGGTGAGGGACCTGTACCACAAACGGGTTCCAGATGTCCGCTTTCTCATCCCTGTTATCAATGGCCTGGAGAAGGTTTGCTTGCATTTTAGTTTCTTATGACTGTTTTCACAGTTAGTTCTGTGGTTTTGTATTCATATTCATCTGTTCTTTTCTCTTTGCACAGGTGTTTGAAATGTTCTTCTAGTTAATGGGTGTCAATTTTTATGCTTTGTACAGAAAGAGGTGATCCAGGCCCTGCCAAAGCTTATTAAACTCAACCCCATTGTTGTGAAGGAGGTGTTCAATCGTCTGCTTGGCACACAGCACAGTAAGGACATCTGTCTTTTTTTCAGTATACAATGGCCTGCGTGCGGCCGCACGTTAACGCTATGGCTCTGCACCTATACAGCACCAGAATCTGCTTTAAAACTTCAGAACGTTGTTGTGAAGGTCAGAGCTTTAGCTTAGCACTCGGCTGTGTAAGTAGGGCATAAATGTCCGCTCACAAGCACGGTTTGTGGTTTCCCTGCCCCCGGACGAGCCGGTGATGTATCCTGTTCCTCTTCAGGTGAAGGCAGTTCCTCCATGTCTCCCCTCACTCCGGGCGAGCTTCTCATCTCTCTGCACAATATTGACTCCACCAAGTGCGACATGAAGTCCATCATCAAAGGTAATCGTCACGTTCCTCGCTCTTTCTGCTCCTGTCTCGGCACATTAGGACGCAGACATGATGCTTTTTTTTATCGATTACTCTCCCTGCAGAAGATGTAAACGTAATCATTTCCAGCTATTTTTCATTCGTATTCTGTTCTTTCGTCAGTTTTGTTGACTAATAAGCTGCAGTCTCTACCAGCCAGCAATCTGATGATGGCGTCCATGTGTGACGCACATATTGTCGATTAACCCTCGATGCTCTGTCTCTGCCCAGCCACCAATCTCTGCTTTGGGGAGAAGAACGTGTACACGTCCGAGGTGCTAGCTGTGGTGATGCAGCAGCTGATGGAGCAGAATCCCCTTCCCATGCTGTTGATGCGCACCGTCATCCAGTCGCTCACCATGTACCCGCGGCTGGGCGGCTTCGTCATGAACATCCTGTCCCGCCTCATTCAGAAGCAGGTCAGCCTCCACCGATGTGCGCCCCCTGATGTGTGCGTGTGGTATTGCGTGCTTTTTGGGGATGCGGTTGTGTGTTCCCATCAGAAGAGATGTTTGAATGCATGCATTCAAACATTAGTAATACGGCTGGATTAGTAATACGGCTATGGCCCCATCAGCCATGAATAAGTCGGTCTTAATTGTAGCGTGTATATTCCGTATTTTCCTGTTTCCTGTCACTGAAAATGAAGATATTTTAAATGTCCGTCCTAGTGAATAATGGTACGATGCAGACATTAAACCACCAAACACAATGAAAGGGCTGCAGTTCAGCTATAGATGAATGACTTGCTGTCATCAACAACCATTTTTTGATGCCGGTAATTCAGCTCTACAACTTCAGCATCAGGATGTTTGTTTTCTGTCCCGTGTAGATAAACGTAGTGGGGAAAATAGTGTAAATGCTAATTCACCTGTAAAATCTTCACTGTGTATCATACATTCATCTAGAGAGCCGTGCTTTTTCTCAAATTTGAAATTTACAAGCATAACTCACGACAAGAATTTAAATTTATGTGACTGACAGAAAAGGGTTTCATTTCAAGAATTTGAGAACACTACATGATTTAACACAAATCATAACACAAGTCCTATAATTATGACTGTTATAATTATGACTCAAAGGGTTAGGACACTGTCTTGGCCAGAAGGTTGCTGGTTCAAATCCCGTGGTCAGCAGAGTGATCCCACCATTGGGAGGGCAGCTTATAACCAGCCCAGCTGAGGGTGTGTGCCCGCAATGTGCCCTGTGTTTGTATGCGAGGTCTCCTGTTCGTGGGGGGTAACCGGCCCAGCTGAGGGTGTGTGCCCGCAATGTGCCCCATAGGTGTGGAAGTACCCCAAAGTGTGGGAAGGATTTGTGAAGTGCTGCCAGCGCACGAAGCCGCAGTCCTTCAACGTGCTGCTGCAGCTCCCCCCCGCGCAGCTCTCCAGCGTCTTCGAGCGCTGCCCCGAGATGAGGGAGCCCTTGCTTCAGCACGTTCACTCCTTCACCCCCCACCAGGTGAGCGCCGACCCCAACCCAAGCCTCTCTCCCTCGCTGGTTTGGTGTGATTGTCTATGGCAGGGTTTCCCAATTCCGGTGCCCCAATGATTTATTATAATAAACTGTTATAAATGCCCAGTGATGTGCTTTCGGTAGAGCTTCTGGTTTGCTTCTCTCCACTCACACATCTGTTTTTGCTTCACCAGCAAGCCCATATCCCGTCCTCCATCATGGTGGTCCTGGAGGCCAGTGTCAAGCAGGAGATCCAGCCATTGGCAGCTGTGGATCAAGAGGTGAGGATACAGTTACCATGACGTGCACTGATGATGCTAGCCTGTCGTACACACTGCAGGATACAGTTACCATCCCGTGCTCTGATGATGCTAGCCTGTCGTACACACTGCAGGATACAGTTACCATCCCGTGCTCTGATGATGCTAGCCTGTTGTATGCACTGCAGGATACAGTTACCATGACGTGCTCTGATGATGATAAGCAACAACCTTGTGCCCTGTTTTGTGCTCTTTGCAACTAGATGGAGCCTCCAGTTCCAGTTCCTGTGCCAGTAGTGTTACCAGAAGCTCTAACTGTGTCACAGCAAGACATGGATTCACAGAACCAGCAGTATCCAGTGAATGAGGAAGAGGAGTTGGAGCCAATGGAGGAAGGCGAGCCTGTTTTGGCCACTGAGGATAATCTGGCAAATGTTGTTCCACAGGTGTGCAGAAAACTGAAAAATCTGATCAAGTGTTTTATTCTAAGATACATATGGGTAAATGGATTGCTGTTGTCTAGGGGGAAAGCCTCATGCCGGAGAGCTCTGTACCTACGACTGTGGAGGAGGCGGATGAGCAGATGGAAGGAGCCGTCATGGAGCCAGCTGATGGAGTCGATCAGGCCAAAGAAGTCCTGGAGGACACCAGTGCAGAGGCAGAGACTGATCCTGGGGACACCGAATGAAAAATGAGAAATGCTGGAATGCGCTCAAGTTGAATGATCTTTTTCAGTTACAGTGTTTTGAGCTGTAGATCGGGGCTTGCGGACCTGGGTCCCTTAAAGCACAGGAATGGTACTTACCATTTCAGGAAGAACTGACAAATCCAAGCTGGATCGTACTCTAGTTTTATATGTGTTATATGTTTAGAGGGCAATTTATGTTTTTCTTACGTTTCCCTGTAAAATTTCTATCATTATGGGGATAAAATAAATGAATTTGTACATGTTGAATTCACTTCTAATTAATTTCTTTTAGAAACCCAAACAAAAAATGATGAATCATAATGTCAGTAAAGTAGTTTATTGCAAAATATAAACTTGAAGTAAAACCATTGGAATTAAATTCTTGCATTTTGCTTAGTTTCATGCCTTTGATTAAATTGTACGTTTAACGGTAAATGTTGATTTTTTTTTTTGAAGATGGCTGTTTTTGTATTCTGCCAGCTTAAAATGCTATAAAATAACCTATACTGTCCTATACTTTAAATGGCGGTGGCAGTTTTTTTACACTTAGATTTCTGCTGCCAGAAACTGCTACCTATATTTTTCAGTGTAGTAGCATTTTATGTACTTCAATTTCAAGTAGTCCCAACAAGCAACACAAAAAACACGTGTCCCGTCGAGTGCAACGGTAAAGTATGGTAGGTACCATAGTTACAGAATTCGGAGTCCGCAAGAATACCGGCAACATATTAACAATTACCTCAATTATTCGTGATAAAAATAACAACATGTGAGGGCAGCAACACTTCTCTGACATACGCGTGTGATGTAGGGTAGATTTGCGCATGCGCTGTTGCGCTTGGAATCAGTTTTTGTCGGGTAGGAAAAATGGGCACCTGATGCGTTTCAGTGAGGCTCGCGCCTTAGCAACGGCGTTGTTTACCCTAACAACAGTTCCATTGTGTTGAAACTCCATTGCGCTGTCCCGGAGAAATTTAAGGTGTTAGACTTGGCATTAAAATATATAAAATAACATAGTTATCTACTCTCATGTAACACCACCATAATAAATCCAAAGTATTGAGCAGCTTTATTTCTTAGGTAAACTATATTGTAGATTAACTGTCGATAAACTGCAGTGGCAATAGACCAGTTGTTTCCTTATGATGGAGTCGCCAGAGGAAATGTTAAATAATCAAAAGGAACAGGCAGCGAGATCCCTCAAAGCTTTCATGTTGACGAACAGCACGAAGAGTAATCTTAATCTGTGAGTATTTCTTCTTTGTTGGATAACTAGTTGCTACTGTATCTAATGTAATTAATGAACTCTGAAGGTACACAGCAACTTCTCTTTGCCAAGAAAATAGGCGAACTTACACTATCGTAATATCACCAAGCTGGTACGAGTGCAAGTTTTTTAATGTTTCATTCAGAGGCTGGAGCCGATCCCATGCAGCCTATAGTGCACCGAGCGGCGTCATGCAATCGCTGGGTACATGCGCGCTAATTTAGATCCGTTTCTGTCTTTAATTCGAATGTGCAGGTAAGTCGGAAAAATAGCAATACATTATTATTATTATTATTATTATCATTATTATTATTATTAATAATAATAATAATAATAATAATAATAATCATCATCATAATAATTATAATTTATACAGCAATAATAAAAGTAGCTTCATACAGTACTGTACTGTCCTCTAGCCGAGGAGCCGCTGAAGCCGCGCGATGATTTCAGGAGCATACAAAGTAGTGTTTGCGTTCGTTATTACTAACCATTGTATTTAACCTGAATTTTAATGTAACATGCTTAAACTTGGGCGGCATTGCAGTGATACCATATATTGGAGAACGCCCCCCCACCAGCAAATTCTAACGGGAAATACCGAAATAGAACTGTGTTTTAAATACAGCGGTATAATATCTGGACAGTACCGCCTTTTTAATGCAAGCCGCATGGGCTTTGACCAGCACTACGTATGATACCATAGAAGCACTTGCATTGAGGCATCACTTCCTTCCCCAGATATGATCACTTGGCCCGGTTGCTGACCAAGGTAATGGAGGAGCGTCCAGAGAACGTAGTAGATGTTATTGAGGACCTGAGTCGTGAGGTTAAGCGGGCGGGGCTGCAGAACACCCAGAGCACCTTGAGGGACATCCACGTCACCACTCCACCCCAGGTGACAGCCGAGCAGCAAAAGGTGCTGTTCTCTCACAAAGGCGGAGAAGATGGAACCCAAGAGGAACAGGTGTATAACAAATAATGGCTAACCTGTATGTTCTGTGTCAGTCAAAATTACTAAGAACGAGTGATCGCTGAATGAAGCTTCATGAACCATTTGCTTTTTTTTTTTACCCCACTGGATGGTGCTTAAGGTTTGCTTTGAGCCCTTTTTTGAACAGACAGCCCCATCTAGTGGGATCAGAAAATACAGCAAGTACTGTCCAAATGTTGTGGTTGAGACACTGTCCCTGTTTTATGGTCCTCAAGATGGAGTCTCCTCTGCCCAATGTGGCAGAGCTGGCTTTTTACCTGGAGCAGGCTGGAGTGGGCCTGGGCAGGGAGGAGACATACCGGGTCTTCCTGGCACTCAAACAGCTGGTGGACACTCAGCCTCTTCAGCACTGCAGGTTCTGGGGGAAGATCTTGGGCACAGAGAATAGCTACCTGGTGGCAGAGGTAGAATTCCGTGAAGGGGAGGAGGATGAGGAGGATGCCCTGGATGAAGCTGGTGAAGATGAGGAGAGAGAAGCAGAGGGGACGAAGAGGAGGCCCGCACTGCTGAGGTGGAGAACATCTATACATGTCATGGGAGGTGTAGTTATGATTGTGTGGATTGTTATTGTCCTTGATGTCTGATTAAGTGTAGCAACCTGGTACTTCTCTGCTTAAACACAGAAAAATGTTCCACTAGTTAAGCCTCTATGCTGGCTTAAAGTGACTGCTGCAATATATCAGTGTAGAGTCTTACAGTATTTAACAAGGCATTCAGCCTACTCTGTTTAATTTACATTAATTAAGCAGATAACATAATTTAGCATGCTTGGGTTGACATGAGGGTATCATTTAAAATTTCCATGACCCCCACTTCAGCAGGGTTTTACTGTCCCAGAATGCTGCTTGCAGTAACACCTCCCTTGTTGGTCGTTTGCGAAAAGCATTAACACAAATTATGCAAAGAATTCTTTTCCTGTACAACTTATATAGACTGAAAAAAATCCCAAAACTGTAGAACTTTCTTTGTCCATTAGGTGGTGCTGTCTGCCTGCATTGCATCTTTCACCATTTGGTTGTATTTGCCAGGCAGATAAAACTGCAGCTAAACAAGGTAAACAGACGGTTTAGGATGAGCCTGGATTTAGTAATCAAGGTGTCTGTAGGAAAGGGACTAGTCAGTATGGTATTTGGAAAAAGGACCCAAACCTAGAATTGTATAATTGCATTACCTCACTTTAGCATTTATTTTAAAGCCATCAATGGTAAATCAAAGATTTATTACAATTATCAGATTGAAACTGGTGGGGTGGCATGGTGGTGCAGTGGTTAGCACTGTTATTTCACACCTCTGGGACCTGGGGTCGAGTCTCCGCCTGGGTTGCATGTGTGTGGAGTGTGGATGGATGGATTTAAACTGATCATTTTTAATTAAATGTATTATGTCAGTTTTGAAAGAGAAGGTATAAGGACAAAGACTATGGATGGTTAATTTTAATTAAAGGATGAGGTAATGCACTGGCAAATATTACACTTGGGAATTAAATGGCCTTATGTTAAAACAGAAAAATTACATAAAAGTATTGTGCAGAGGGCTGTTGAGTTGGAGTAGATGTGGCTGGGCATTTTTCTAAAAAGATGATCTGGGTGAGATTTAACACTGGTCAGAAAAGCTGCACAATGTGTAAAGAGGAAGTGCACAAAATGTGCAGAGCTACAGTGGCATTTAGTAAATAGAAGATGAGGCAGGAAGTTCCTTGATGGCATGGAAACTGAATCACACTAAGCGCAAAGAGTGCTTTTCTGGGGCAAACTGCAGTGCAGTAAATCATCCTGGTAACAAGACGTATTTTAAAAAAGGTGGTGGTAACAATGCATTACAGAAATGCTATTTGTTAGCAGGGGCTGTGAAACCACTCAGGACAGAAGCCAAAGTTTGGGTAAATCTTTGCAGAAAATTTGTTTTGATTGGATTGAAGATTAAGGCTGATACTGATCCTTTATCAGAGAAATGACGCAAAGCATATAGCCATAGTGATACTGGAGTCTCAAAAGCAGGAAGTTGGTGTCTAATCACAGACTGTACAAGAACAATTCGGATGTGAAAATCTGACAGACTTATCCCAAAAAGATTCACGATGGAACTTACTGTTTTTCTCATGATTTAGGCTGCAAATATTTGACTTTAACAATGTTTAATTTTTTATTTGTGTTTGTTTGTTTAAAAAAAGTTTAAATACATGAAATATTCAAGTGTTAAGGTCGTGGAAGAAAAAATATTTATTTACATCAGAAAACTTATTGGAAGTTTCATAAAAAACACTTTCTACTGGAAGTGTAAGTAGATTATATATTGTAAAAATGTACAGATATATAATTGATTGTGTTCGGAAAAACATGTACAATACATTTATATATCAGTCTCAATAAACGCAGCAGCAGTAATCGATAATTTGGTAATTTTTTTTTAACATATAATGCTGTTATTGTACTTACAGATGTATTTATTCTTTGACCACATTGTTGTGTGTTTCAGATCATATCCTTTCCAAAATCTACCTACAAGCCCCCACCTGTGGTTCCAAAGGAGAACAATGGAACAGGTGCCAATAAATTCACTTATTTCGTATGTAGAGAGCCGGGCCTGCCGTGGGTGAGATTGCCCCCTGTCACTCCTGCTCAAGTAACTGTCGCTCGCAAAATCCGCAAGTTCTTCACTGGAAGATTGGACGCCCCCATAGTCAGCTATCCCCCATTCCCCGGGAATGAAGCCAACTATCTGCGGGCCCAGATTGCCCGCATTTCAGCGAGCACACAAGCGAGCCCACTGGGGTTTTACCAGTTTGTGGAGGAGGAAGGTGAAGAGGAAGAGGATTCCTCCCGAATCAGCTTCGAGGAGAATCCAGACTTTGAGGGAATCCCTGTTTCTGAGCTGGCAAACTCCCTGTCGAACTGGGTGCATCATGTCCAGTACATTCTGCCACAGGTACCACAGGAGGGACTGCTAAAAATGGTTGCTAAGAAACATCTTGTGAGACTAAAACTTGTGCTTTCAGCATGGACTCTTAATGTGCAAATATGTACAGATATGTTATGATAGACTTTTGTGATTTACTGCTGTAGCAGTCAGGATGATTTCCCTGTTCAGGGTCGCTGTACTTGGATAAATCTGGCGGAGAAGCCTGAGGAAGAAGAGGACCCAGAGGAGGAGAAGGAGGAAGAGCCAGATGAGCCAGAGCCAGAAGTGGGGCCGCCTCTCCTCACGCCGCTATCGGAGGATGCAGGTTCGGCCTTGTTCTTCTTCCAGTCCCTGTGGGCTGCATGACTGCATGAACAGTGTCAGGGTTGCAGGCTTTGCATCATGATATTTTGTTGTTTGTTCCTGGGCACAGTTAGTATGCAGACATACAGACATGGACTGGTTAGTACTGCTACTGAAGTGTGACAGACATACACTATGGACTAAAGTATTTGGAGACCCATGGTAATTACAGGACCTCTTCATAAGCTCTCATGCAAAATGCACTATAGATACCTTCATGATACATTATAATGGTCAGTATAAAAATTAAGGATGCTTTGTACTGCATTATGAAGGTATCTTTAGTGAATTATAGATGGGAGCTTAAATCATAAAGCGTTCATAATGCATAATAAACATGGCCATAATGTGTTGTGCCTTTTTCTGAATATTTATAGTCATGTTTATAATGCTTTATGAATGTATTACAAAGTGTTAGAAATGTTTTCATAGACTCTTATAGACATTGCATTCATAGAAAGTGTTACCGAGAAGTTTTCCAGTTTTATTTCCCTTGTATGCCATCTGTTTGCCCTAGAGATCAACAACACCCCTCCCTGGAGCTGTAAGGTGTCCTCCAGCATTATCTCCAAGTTTGCCATCGCCGTGTTGTGCTCCAACCTTTGGCCGGGAGCCTATGCATTTGCTTGTGGGAAGTAAGATACTTTTGGTAACAGAAATGTTCTTTGCACATGTGGCTTCTAAAGGATTCTGGAACTTTATTCAGGTTCATACAGTTGCAGAAAAAATGAAGAGACCCCAGCATAGTTTTTGTTTCACTCTTTTCTCAATTTAAGTGTGTGCGTCTGTGAATAATATATATATTTTTGCAAACTGCAACCTGGTTCTTCTCTGTTTTTCATTATTGAAGGGCTTCTTCCTCGCTTTATGGTACTTCAGTCCTGCTTCTAGGAGCCTGATACGAACCGTCCTAGTAGTGCACTTTACACCTGCACTTAATGTTTCCCATTCCTTTTGAAGGTCACTTGATGTCATCCTATGATTCATGACAAACTGTTGGATAAGTTAATGGTCATATCTGGCATTAGAAGGTCGCTTCCGCCCTTTTCCTGGCTGGTTTCTGCAGATTTGTTTAAAAATATAGAGCAGTCTCTTATTTTTTTTCCACAACTGTAGTGCCAAACAGACAACACTAGGAGAAGGTGTCATCACAAACGTTTCTCTCTGTAATTGTTTTTTTTTTTCTTTCTTTTTTTCCACAGGACATTTGAAAACATATATATAGGTTGGGGCTCGAAGTTTTTAGCAGAAGGATATAATCCGCCAGTGCCCCCCCCACCCCAGTCGGAGTACCCAAGTGGGCCGGACATCACGGAGGCTGCTGACCCCAGTTTGGAGGAGGAACAGGCTTTGAAGGCTGCGCTGGAAGAACAGAGGGAATCTCAGGAGGAGATGGAGGATGCTGAGGGAGATGAAGATGAAGAGGATGATGACTGACAAGTATAAGCGAAAAGTGGAGCAAGAGCTGCAAGAATACTATTGCTAAAAAAACAGCTAATCTAAAGTATACTTTCTTCAATGTACAGCATAGGAGTAATTAAGCATTTGATTTACATGCTTAGTTATGAGTTTATACAGTATATATATAGTTATATAGGTTTATGTAATTTTTCTGTTTTAACATAAAATGGTAAATATGAATGTAGTTCTGAGAGGATGAATGTCAACTTGGCTGTTGGTGGAATAAAATTTGCACAGTTTTGGAATAGGTGAGAAGAGTTGAGTCAGGAGCCAATGGCAGTGCAGAAACACACTAAGGGCAATGATGATAGGCTATCACTGCTTACCCACCAATAGGAAGACGTCATGGTTCAGGGTCCAAACGGCCGAGAAATTTGGAAACCATCTGATGACATGTTCTCCTGCCCCAAAGCTACAGTCACAAGAAAGTGACTGATGGAACAACCATCTAGATATATCTAATAATTGATTTCCAAGCCCGAAATTCATTCTGAGAACCATGCATGTTATTTATGGGCTTTCATAAAACATCATGCATTTGCAAACCTTGCCAGCACATCGTTGCGTAACTGCACACGGCTTCTCAGTCTTCCCTTCCTTTCAGCTCTTGCCCTTGATCCCTCTAAGATTTATGTTGATTCAGGGATGCTGTTCGCGCCAGTCAGCACCACAGGTCAGAGATTGTGCTGAATAGCAGTTCTGTGTGAGCAAAGTCCATTTCATGGTACTCTGAAATGCTGTTATTTTAAAGATGAAAATAAATTTGAAATGATATTGTACAATCGGACAGCAGGACTGGTTTTTCAACTGATTTTATCCAGTAAAAAATGAAAAAGTTTGACCATCAGGGAAGATTTCATTCAAAACTGTTAGCTTTCAAGTTTGTTGCTCATTTTCTATTTCTATGTTACCCATTTCACCTCAAATGGAAAGGAATTGTTGCAAATCCATAGCAGACAGAAACTGCATACAAAGAAAGATAGTGACCCTTTGTATCGAGTCAAACCCAAGGAATATAAATTTTGAATGCTCCTATTTAAATATGTATGGCGTAGCGCTCTGTATTTATTGATGAGAAGACTGGCTATTTCAGGTCAACTAAGAAAACTAACACTAACATAAGCACAGTTTTAATGGGCACAGAGGCTCACAGAATCTTTGTCTTCCTGATTATATGCATGCAAAATTTCCTCTTTCAGTCCTGACAGACTTAATTTATAATCTTTAACTGAATTGTTATTCAATTATCTATACTATTAATGCATAAGTATTTCACTAAATCATTACAATGAGACATGGCCATACATTCTGATTTCGACATTCTTTATCATTTAAAAAATCATTCCATTAATTGAACATCAAGGTGGATCCCTTAAAATGAAACCCTGAATATGTATGGTCTAAAAGATATTACACTTCATTCCACTCATTACAACCAGGATATGCAGAAGAGCATCTCTGAAACACAACGTGGGGCAGATGGGCTACGGTAGCAGGAGATCACACTGGGTTCCACTTCTGTCAGCTAATAACAGGAAACTCAGGCTACAGTGGGCACGGACTCACCGAAACTGGACAGTGGAAGATTGGAAAAATACTGCCTGGCCGGTGGAGTCCAGATTTTCTGGTTGCAGATGGTAGGGTCACAATTTGGCATAAACAACATGAAAGCATGGATCCATCCTGCTGTGTATGAACAATTCAGGCTGTTGGTGGTGGTGTAATTGAATTGAATAATTGAATAGAATTTAATTGAATTTTTATTGCCATCATACTGGTGTGGGGGATATTTTCCTGGCACACTTTAGGCCCTTTAGTACCCATTGAGCATCGTTTAAATGCCACTGCCTACCTGCGTATTGTTGCTGACCATGTCCGTCCCTTTATGACCACAGTGTTCCGAGCTTCTATTGGCTACTTCCAGCAAGATAACACACCATGTTACAAAGCTCAAATCATCACAAACTGGTTTCTTAAACATGATGATGTTCTCAAATGGCCTCCAGTCACCAGATATCAGTCCAATAGATCAGCTGTGGGATGGGGTGGAACAGAAGATTCACATCATGAAGGTTCAGCTGACAAATCTGCAGTAACTGTGTGACAATGTCATGCCAACATAGACCAAAGTTTCTGAGGAATGTTTCGAGCACCTTGTTGGATCTATGCCATGAAGAAATAATGCAGTTCTGAATGCAAAAGGGGGGTCCAATCCAGTACTATAGCAAGGTGAGCCTAATAAAATAGCCAATGAGTGTAGAGCTGACTAGTAAATTAATGGCTTAAACTCCTGGTAAACACATAAGCACAGATCACATGGAAGATGAAAAAACATGGAATGCCAGATAAAAATATGTCCACCGACTAGCCGTTCCATTTCCATTTTGCTTTCACTCCGTATGAGTAATGAACAATGTGGAAGAGCATGTTCTCTCCTGCTTCTCCAGGCAATATGTCTCTGCCTGGCTTCTCCCTTCTCTCTAGTTCCTCGTGTTCATAAATCATTTAGGCTTTCAGGATGGCAAGTCTGTCAGGACACTGCTCAGAACCTTCACATTCGGCTGCTGATTCAAAAGAAAAAAATGTCTGGTTTGGGGGGTGTCCACCATGCATGTTCCTCCCTGCTGCATTTACCACTCCCCATGGTGCACTGGCCCAGATTTCCTTCATTTACCTTGTAATAACACCCCTCTTCCAACATTGCACGTCACCCCCACCCAGGAAAGTAATTTCCCATGAAGAGCTCTCACTTGCTTTCTGCATTCCCTATCTCTGATAGCAACAAATGCCTTGTTTATTTTTTAGGCTTGAAGTTAATGTTGCGGCAATGATGTCAACATCCCTGACTGGAATTCAGATGAGTTATCCCCCTAAAACCCCCTGAACTATTATTATTGACTGTATCTGCTTTGGTTATTGTGCGGTCCCTAAATCTTCCCACTGTTCTTGGCATTTTAATAACAGCTTTTTGGGGTTGGAAGGCACACACTGGTAGCTGAAAAACAGCGTACACAGGTTTTCATCCTGGCAGATGCCTGCTGGGATGTTTTGTTCATTAACTGCCATTTTGACACTTCATATTTTCACCTTAGGTGCTTGCGAGACACTTTTATCCAAAGTAATTTATAAAGCTTGCCATCTCAGACTTTTACTCATTCATACAGCTTAATATTTTAAGCACCAGTTATAACTAATTACATTGCTGATGTGTACAGCCTGTTCTACGCATGAAGCAGCAACCCACATCCTTAAGTCCGTATCCTTAAAGGTAAATTTCATTCTGATTTGTTCTGTTCATCACAAATTTCCATCTTCTGAGTGCTCCTGCAGTTCAAAATCATGTGGGTTATCTGCCCTGGTCTATCATCATTGCCCTTAGTGTGTCTCTGCGCTGCCTTTTGCTCCTGATTAATCACAGTCCTGACCTGGACAAGCAACTATGGAAGATCAGTGGATGTATTACATGTAGCTCGAACAGAGAACTGCACTGTGACTAACTAAGAGCTAGAGGCATAGAGGGATACTCACCACAAACACTATATGGGCAAAAAAGGAACAGGAATTGGCCTCATAAACCACAGCCATTGCTGACATACAGGTGTATAATTAAGCACACAGCCATGCAATTTCCAGTATCAAACAGTGGCAGCAGATTGGGTGGTCATACTGAAGAGGTTAGTCAGCTGAGGACCTTCATTGGACACCTTTCCAGCAAGTCGGATCTCCACATTTCTGTCCTGCTAGAGCTGCCCTAGTCAATGGCGACTGAAGTGATTGTGAAATGGAAACGTCTGGGAGCAAGTTCAACTGCAAAGTGGCGGCCACACAAGCTCACAGAGAGGGACCTGATCACCCAACATCAATACCCAACCTGAATGGCAGCAAATCCCACCAGCAATGTTCCAGCATCTAATGGAAAACCTTCCCAGAAGAGTACAGGCTATTATAGCAACTGAGGGTTAGCCGGCTTCATATTAATACCCTTTGATTCAGAGTGAGATGTTGGACAAGCTGGTGTCCACATACTTTTGTCCATATAGTGTAAGACACAGAAACTGAATCATACATTACAAGTATTTTATGAATGCCGGTTAGCATAACAACTGGACCTGGGACTGTGGGAGGAAATCTGCCTGACACAGGAGGGACACACAAATGCAGCATGAGACTCAGATTCCCAATCCCAGTACCCTACGCACTGCCACACCAAGGCAAAGCGCCGTAACAGCACATCGTACTAAAACCGGGTCTCTTAGGCCTGTTTTATCTTATGACAAAACATCTTATTTGATCTATGCTGTGTTTTTACAAAAAATCATGGTTATATCATTTATCTGCCTACTACACACATGGGTGGACAGGCAAAAACACCTCAGAAGGTCCTTTTTTCACTTTCAATGTCAGCGTAGTTACTGTGTTTTGCGTTAGTGGGGCGGAATACCTGACTCACATCTCACTATACCTTAACAATAACCTCAAACCAAACCAGTATTCTTTCACAGTGGGGCACTGTTGTCATTTACTCCCAGCCCATTATTACACTACAGTAATAGTGCTGTAAGTAAAGTGCAAGGTTTTTGGTTTTATCCCACTGGGAAGCGTTTGATTTATTTATAGCTTTCAGGGGAAAAGTTACAGAAATACTGGAAATAAACAAAGATGCGATATGCAGAATAAGCTTAATGTACACCTCTAGTCATCTCCTCACTTTTCCATTTGATACTATTTTAGCAACATTCGGGGTGTCATTAGAAGAGAAAGCAAGGGCATTCAGAGAGATGATGTAACCTTTTACGCAACAGGTAAGGATGTGACAGGCATTTTACACAGAAGTGCATATTCATTAGCCATGGTGCCCCTGGAACAACACGTGCATGTTAATTAAACCATATTTGCATGCAGTTATTAATCACCCAATGCAGCACAGTTTCAGATAGTTTCCATAATTGCACCATATAAATCTGCTCACTAATGCTTGATTCATAAAGGCAGAGGTTTACAAAGAGTATGTATGGTACATTATACCTTTACATTAACTGCATCTTTATAATTAATTCATTATTCATTCATAGAACATTCAATACACCCTCATAATGCATTCTTAGAACATTCATAAGCAGCATGTAAGTATGCTATCATACCTTAACAGGTTTAATAAAGGGATAGGCCTACTTTAATAACAAACATTATACATTTATACAATTATAATGCTTATTATTATCATATAATGTTTGTTAATAATGCATATTAAAGCCGTTAGGGCATGTTAGGATGTTAAGGTATACTTACATGCTGCTTATGAATGTTCTGTGAATGCATTATAAAGGCATTATGAAGGTGCAGTTAATGTAAAGTGTTACCAACCTTTTACTTAGAAAATGTATTATTTGCACAGTCACCCTGTCAGATGTTATGGGTTGACTTCACCACAGAGAGCAGTGATTAAATGTAAATAATGCATGAGGAACCTGTGTCACATTCCATATTTCATTTAGAATGGGCCATGAAATGCAGTTCAAACTATCTAAGCAAAGTGAGATAAAAAAAAGGGATATGGGGGCTAATTTTATATATTGAAGGCTGATTGATAGAACGTAAATTGGTTCACGTTCCCTAGGGTGGGTCAGCTGCCTCGGCCCCTGTCCAGCGATTCTCACTGTCAGCCAGGTGCATTCGTGGCTGTGAGCAGAACGGAAGCAAAGAAACGCTCTTCCTGGTCTGCTACACCAATCGATAGTTACAGGTTTAGAATGCATGCACATCCAGAAATATTTGTGTTTGGATGCTGCATGCAAAATTAACAGAGGAAATAATTGCCTTACATACTTTAGAGTAGCATATTGTTGTCTACGCAAAAATGTACAGGATATTTTCAGAAAATCAATGTCTGTTGCTCTAGCAAATCATTTTCTACCTTGCAATTTCGTAATTGATTCATGTCTGCACATAGTAAGGCTGCACTCCTTGAATTTAATAAATATCGCGATACATACTCACCTACATTTCACGATGAAGATTTGCGATTTGGCAGCATGGTGGTGCAGTGGTTAACACTGTTGCCTCACACCTCTGGGACCTGGGTTTGAGTCTCCGCTTGGGTCACATGTGTGTGGAGTTTGCATGTTCTCCCCGTGTCGTCGTGGGGTTTCCTCCGGGTACTCCGGTTTCCCCCCCACAGTACAAAGACATGCTGAGGCTGATTGGAGTTGCTAAATTGCACTTAGGTGTGCATGTGTGAGTGAATGGTGTGTGAGTGTGCCCTGTGATGGGCTGGCCCCCTGTCCAGGGTTGTTTCCTGCCTCGTGCCCATTGCTTCTGGGATAGGCTCTGGACCCCCCGCGACCCAGTAGGATAAGCGGGTTGGACAATGGATGGATGGATGGATGGATTTGCGGTTTTTTTTTTTTTTATTAAAATATCCTTGCTAAAGTAGTACACTTTTTGTAATACATAATAATAGAGGAGATTGTAAAATGTCATTTGCTGAACACCAACAGAAAGACCACAGCAATGAGTGATAGTTTTTCCCCGCTACCATTCAAAATGCATGACAGTCAAGGAAACCATATTTAGATTTGAAAGAATACGTCAATCCTGCCTCTTCAATGCAATGCAAGTCCTTTCCCTGAGTGACAGGTATCCCAGGCACTTAACTGAGAAACATAATAATGATATTGGAGTAAATACTGATATTTATTCCATAAATAACACGGGAAATCATCATCCAGTACATGTTGGAAAGAAAGAGAAGACTGCAGTACAGAGAATTATGAAGGACGGGAATTTGTATTTTTTTCCTTATGCTACTACAAGTGGTTATCAGACTTGTACATCAGTAGTCTGGGTCATTCAGAACTAACCCCGAATAATTTGTCCAGCTCAGATGATTTAATAACCGAACTCTCAGTCTGAAAACGCCTATTCTCAGATTATGAATCTGGGTTAAACCCCAGGTGTTTTACGATCTGAGCAACGGAATTCAACAACATTCCCAGATGATTCCCATTTCTGCACTGCATCACTTCATTGTCACACGTCATATCGCTCTCCAATAAAAACAATTCAGGATGTGTGGTTTTCCCTAGTACGTCCGTCTCCATTTTTCGTAAAATCCAAACCTCAGTAGGGATTTGGGCTTAAATACTGTACATTAAGATTAGTATATTTTTATATAACCCCATTCCTAACATGTTCGCCACAAAGAGCACAACGATAAACCAGAAAACTGCAAGGTGATTAAATTAAGGACAATAAATGCTATTCAGTTTTAAAACCGGAGCTGGAAAGCTGAAAGCACTGCACGCAATAATAAATCACGAACTGTCAGAATATGCATTTCTGTCTTCTCCGTAGAGTCCGTAGAGGGGTGCTGCTTGAGATTTTGGACCCCATGAAGCCTATCCAGTGCCCAACTGCTTTTTCAGTATCCTCAGCCATTCCTACCCAACTCAGATAAAGATCATCTGATTACAGAAATGCCTAAACAAATACGAATACAGTCTCTATAGGTGCATTAGTAGCTTCGGCAAGGGGAAGCTACTTTGATTTGTCTAGAATGTAAAATTCTTTAGCCTAATGGCAGTGATGACTGAAGAATCCTGAAAGCCATCCTATACCTCTCAAGTTTTATATATGTATTATAAGTATTATAAAACCTGGTGGTGCTCCATGTATCTGCTGATCTGTAAGTATCTGTCTAGATCCTTCATATACCACATATTGATCACAATTTGCAATGTCTGACTTGATGTCTTTCTTGTGTACTCATGCTTGCCAATGGACTCTCTCTCTCTCTCTCTCTCGTGCACACGCGCTCAGCAACTTTAAATGACCATACAGCAAGATTGCATCTCCTGCTGTTTCAGTTTAGCACATTTCCAGTCAGAATTAGGGAAACAGCTTTTCAAGGTACATGGAGCAATACCACTTAAGCTACAGAAGGACTGAATCTGAAAAACCCTGAGGATGCAGATTATATGCAGAATAAAGAAAGTAGGAAAACTATATGAAAATGTCATGCAGCTATTTTTAATCTGGTAAACAAAGTGCTTGCTCCAAAACAATGCCAACACCTCTCCTATAATAAATCATGAACTGTCAGGATATGCATTTCTGTCTTCTCCGTAGACTCATGGACAGGGGTGCTGCTTGAGATTTTGGACCCCATGAAGCCTATCACACTGGGCCCCCAACCCAGACCAATCCAATTATGCTACAGACCTCCCCCTTTTATGGCACCCCTAGAACAAACCGAGAATCTATAAAACATGGAGGTTTCTGTTAAGGAGGGATGTTTTATTTCCCTTTGTCTATTTTTGAACATGAATATTAATTGCACAGAACAGTGGCTCGGAGGTAAGTGGGTCGCCCAGGTCAAGCTGACATTAAAGAGCTTTTGGGGATAGCGAGCACACGGTACATTGCATAGACCGTGACTGCATCTGGACGTTCACCCAGAACAGTCGCTTCCCCGAATGAACAAACACACCTTTGTGATAAATCACCCAGAAGCTCCAGCAGCCCCCGAGTTCAGCCGCATTACCGCGCTGCCCTCGCATGCCAGAATCAGCGCCAAAAGAATAAAACAATCAGAGACCAACGGAGGCTCAGAAAGGTGTTCATTTCATTACAGTTTTTACTGTTTGTGGCTGTATGCGAAAAGTACACAGGCTCTAGGACCCTGTGAGTGAGTGTTGGGAGAGAAGCGTAACAGCCAAGCACTGAGAAGGGAAAAATAGGATAGTGAAGGAGATATAAAGAAAGAGAGAGGTGGCTGTAATTGTGATGTAGTTGGAAAGTCACTCAAACGGTTCGACGTGGGACATTTAAAGCCACACTGGAAAAGGTCCAAAAGCAGAACTCAAGAGAAATCAAAGACGCTGGAAGAAGTCTTTGCACATATGAGGGACCGTTTACAAACATATCAAAAGTAGTTCACGCCATGACTCGACGCACCAACTGACGAACAGATCGCGCGCTCCATAGCACGCGCGGTCCACCTGCACGCGCCGCTCACCCGCACTTGGGGGCGTACCGCACAGCACGCGGACAGCAGCTTCCAGACGCGCTTCACGGCCACTTTCGCACATTCTTAGCCGAACACAGCCAGAATAACCAGGGACCATGACAATAAACTGGATCATTTGATCTGACAGGATGAGAAGAGATTTGCACAGAGGTTAGAATTCAGTTGGAGTACAGGTAAGTCCAAGTCTACTGACTTTTTTCCCCAGGTAATGAGTGTTTTTCACTGTGCCATTGTTTTTCCATGTTTTCAGTATCAGTCTCTGAACTGACAAAGACACCATGAATGTAGCAGCGTGCAATTATGATTACATCACCAACAAACAGTTTTAAATCTGTTACGGTCACAGTAAGAAGGATGTTTGTTATTATGTATAGGCTATGTACTGTGCTGTTTGGATCTGTAAAGATTCTTGTAGAATATGCTAAACAGAGAAATTTTATAATGATCAGTATGTATTTCTAAGAATATAGAAGGGGAAAATGAGAAAGATTAATAAACAGATTAGGGATAAACTTAGAATGAAGGATTTGCTCACTGTTGGCATACCGGAATTAAACATAATCATTGATACTGGACAATCTTTGTCTATAATTTGTATTGACTATAAATATAGCACGTCCGTTGCATAGATGAAAAAGGCGAATTAAACGCTAAGCCAAATAATAGCCAGATACTGACGCTGAAGCAGTGTGGCACGTGCAATAAAGTATTATTCTCTTTTTCAGTTTTTGGGTAAAGTAAACACATCTATACTCTTAGGAATAAAAAGCATATTGGGCAAATACTATACAAGCTGTGTGCCAGGCTGCCAGCTGACAATTTTCAAAACTATTGTTCTGGAGTGTGTTTCAAAAACAGCTGTATTAACTGACACTTCTGATCTGCGGCAAGATATAAAACGGATGCTTGTTACGCAGTAGCACAAAACTGGGGAGATTCAGACTCTATATTTTTTCTGTCATTTAATTTAATGATCTCCAATTAACGACTGAATTATGTGGCATGTGTTAAGGCAACATATAAACAGTTTATGAGTTATGAATTAGGAAGCAATTGTGTGATCATTGATACCAAGAGTTCAAGACTTTTTATTGTCATTGTACAGTTGCCTGGACAACGAAATTAGCTAGCAAGACCACAAAGATGCAAGAAAGTGTCAGTACAAAATATAAGAATAATAAACAGAGTATATACAATGTATAGGTACAAGAGACATTGGGGGTATATGCAAGGGTGTCATAAATATAATAAATAAGGGGGAAGGGCTTTTGTCATAGATAAGTGACACTATTGGGTAGGTTGGTAATTGCACATTTGCCAAGATATTGCACAGAGCCATAGTCAGTAGCAGCAGTGAGTATGGAGTATGGACGCAAACTGCACAAACACGTGCACACGCACACACCCATACACACATACATACTTATGGTCACCATAAGCTTAAAAAGATAGGAGTGAGGGGAGGATTGAAGGAGTAATGTTAGTGATCTGGTGCATTAAGAGTTCTGACTGCCCACGGGTAGAAGCTATTTTTTACTCTGTTGGTTTTGCACCTGAAGGATCTGAACCTTTTACCAGAGGGCAGTATATTAAATAGGTGGTGGTTAGGATGGAGGTGGTCTTTTATGATCGCCCTGGCTCTGGAGAGACACCTAGAGCTAGCAATGGAGTCCAGGGAGGGGAGTGGACTGCCAATCACCTTCTCTGCTGTTCTAGTGAAAATAAAGGTAAATAAAAGGTAAACTCAGAAAAAATACTGGAGAAAAACAAAGTGTGTTCATAGGAAAGGGAAAGATAAGCCACATGATTAAATCTAGTTTAAATAAGCCAGAAATGTAAATGAAATAATTTAGTCATCACGATTTAGCTTTTACAGGCTATAAGTAATTGGGTATCTTGCATATAGTTGCCCTGTGACCATTGTACTGTACAAATTATTATATATACAGCCAGGAACTACAGTACCTATTCTCAGTGGACAGTTTTCTGTGAAGAACTGCTGGAGCGTACAGTCTGCACAGCTTCAGCGGAGAATGTAACCCCTCCCAACACAATAGGCTCTGTCCAAACCATTAATCCCAGCAGTGAACCATCAGTGCTGTGTCTCTATTTCTGGCCAACGCTTTAAGAGTAAATCAGCAAGCAATTTTGGTAGCACTTTACTTGAGGAGGTACAATCAATCAATCGACCAATCAATCAGTCAATCAATCAGTTTATTTGTCTAGTGCATTTTCAAAGTCAAGGAAGTTGACAGACCAAAATGCTGCACAATGGGAAATAGAACACAAGTAACTTAGTAACTCAGTTACTACTTAAGTCCAAATTATGAACACATACAGTAACTGTATGAAATACATGAACTGTTATGGTTGATTAATGATGAACAAACATGGGATCAGTAAGTAACTAACACTTACTTACTGGTTACTGGTTTATTAATACATTAAGTAAGAGTGTACTACTACATTATTTGTGCCCCAAGTAGTGTTACTGAATTTTTTTTTTAAGTTTTCTAAAGTCCTTGATGAAAATTATTTTATATAGAATATTATAATTATATCCATTCATCCTCTGTATTTAATAACTGCTAATTCAATGCAAAATCACAGTCACCATGAAGCATGACTGTAGAAGCACAGGGCATAAGGTTGGGCACACTTTGAACAAACACGCGATAGAAAATTCTGAGAAACCAATTAAAATCACTGATCTGACATCATAATGGAATCCATGATTATGAAGATGTGGGGACACAGTATGAGTCACTGATGTATTACATTTGCCATATTGACTAGTTTATTAGCTGGAGAAAAATCTGGAAGAATTACAAAGGGAAATTAACAACTTAATTCAGCATTCTGTCTAGTACATTTAGCAGGGTAAACTGCTTTGATCACCTTTCTGGCTTTTTCTTGTCTCCCAGATGGGTAGTCAAAGTTTATTATATATAGGTAGGACTTGGTAGAAATTAGTGATGGATAAAATAATGCTTCGTGAACCATTTGTGGTATTTTTTGACCCCACTAGATGGTGCTGTCTGTTAAAAAAAGGCTCAAAGTATGCCCCAAAGCAGGCAAAGAGTACCATCTAGTGGGGTCAAAAAATACAGCAAATGGTTCATAAGACGTCGCTTTTGTCATCACTACTGGGAACCTTGACTTAGTGTCATTGCCCATTATTAAGTGAGATTGGCCCAAATGCACTCTTGCAGTGACTAGTAGAGCAGGGACAAATGAGACTGAGGCCCATTGTTAAGAGAGATTCTGCGGGGTTTTCTGTATGTTCATGACCACACAGCACAGCAGAGTAGTGTAAAACCAGAACATGATTATTCTCATGTTCAGTTAATACACCATCTAAAACCAGAACAAAGTGGGTGATTTATTATACGAAGAAGCCATTCTCCCTTTACAGCATGGCTATTTTAAGATGCCCAAGACAAATGTAGCCAAATGCTCAAAATGAGAATCATCCAGACAGTTGATCAAGAGAATTTTGAAAATGAAGACATGTTTTCCTAAACATTTAAGCTTAAGCATCACATTACCAAGCCTTACTACGCACTCATTGCAATTCAGTTAATTTTTATAAAGTGGCCTACTCAGCATAATTGAGCGATAGCACTTCGAATAAACTATTTGAAATGTAGTAAAAAAAAAAAAAACATCTGAAACTGTCAAAAAGAACATTTAAGCAAAAAATAAAAAATCGAAGGACAAAATAATATACTAAATAACGGTGAGAATGTTGTCAAATGATACCTATAAAATGGCGATAATATGACAGAAAGTGACGTGGGACGTGGGAATTATATGTGACAGGGAACCGAGTAGCTCCATTGGCATCACGTTAGCAGTGATGCGCAACACTGTCCTTTTAGCTTAAACTCCCATGGACTCAATATTTTATAGGGCTTCCGTGAACCAGAGCAGGACTGTGGTGCACCTGAGATAAGCATGCTGGATCCCTACGTGGGGGGAATAGAGAGGGGGTTTGGTGGTCTGTCATCATGTTGGGAGCATCTGCCGGTGGAGCATGGGGGGGGCGTAAAAAGAGTCAAGAGCTAAATGTCATCACAGCATGGTTCTGACAGCAGGGTGCCAGTGTGAATTACATCAGAGTGGCGAGGTATGCAGCTGAACTTAGTGTATGTGAAGACACTGGGGACTACAGTAGAGAACTGCATAGTGAGGCAAACATTTTTAAAGTATATAAATAAATATGTTTGTCGGATATAATTATGTTGTACAGAAAACAATGTGCAATAAAATCTGTCCAGATCTCTCATCCATGTAACAGAAACAAGGTAACAAGAATGATTAGCCATATTAATTAATCATTGTAAAAAGCCCCAAGGGTGAACAGATCAAGAGGACAAGGCATTGGAAGAAGGAATAGGGGGTTTGATCTTGTGCTCTTTGAATTTATGGAAAGTTGGGAGGACAGCGGAATACTCAACTTGGTCCACAGTTATGACAGTAAAATCTACTTTTTATTTAGTATTGGGTAGCTTGAGGCAGCAGAGACAATGAGGCAGATCGCTCACAAACCATTATAAATCATTTTCAATCAGAATCGTAAATGAAGCATTTTGTAGATAACATATTTTTTATTGCCAAGCAGATATGATATTATTGATTAAAGACGAGGTCAGTGGTAATGAATTTTTATTCTGGAACAGTGATTTATTAGGGTCATTTAATGGTACTTGATGATGTAAAAGAAAAGTGGTCCCATAAGGAGCTTTGTAAAGTTATTTACTGGGTAATTGGTCATTGAGTAGTAAACATAAGTGATGCATTCCTGCACATATACCTTTATGCATTCTTCATATGAATATACGTCATACTTAATCAGTCCTTGTTAATAAAAATGTCATGACCTGCTCGTCCAATCCTCCTGTGTGCCACACCCCCCTCGCTACCTCGTGTGGAATCCCCGTGTTACCAGCTGTTTCTCGTTGTTGTTAATTAGTCTGATGTATTTAAGTCTGCATTTGAGTATGTTTCTCGAGTTCTGTTATTAATGTCATATCGTGTCTGCCTGTTCCGTATTTGCCCAGAATTAAATCCTGCGTTTTCCCCAATTCCCTGAGTCCTGCCTCTGCTTCTGCGGTCCATGCCTTCATGCAACCTTGACAAAAAAATTATGCATGAGTAATATGAAGGTCATGCTGAATATGTATGATTCTGATTATGTTAACTGGCATTGGTCAACATTAATGTCATGTGATTTAATATGTTTTGTTTCCAGTTTTGTAGACTTTGACATTTGCAGGATTATTATAAAAGACGATATTAATGATATGACTAAATAGACGAGACCCCTTTCAATTTCAGTATTCACAATTTTTGTTGATACATTAATGTAACAAGGGAGAAGACTTGGATGGAAATTAATAAACATATGAGAGTATTCTTAGAAATACTACAGTTTGCATAGAAATACTTTTAGCAGACGGTTACTGAATATGGCTTTTAAAATAGAAGACTTACCGGAACTGGATACTGCCAAATGTTTAAAATTCCAGTGGTTGAAACTATAGTTGTATAACTATATGACTCCAAATGGCTTCAGATAAAATATTGCAATTTTCTTATACTTTCTTCTCAGCAGATTACACATTTTGATTGTGCCACTATCTTCAGACCATTGTTGAATATTTTGGCCGGGTTATTCCCTACCCAGTGCCCATAGCTTCTGGGATCGGCAATCCTGCATAGGACAAGCTTGTTCAGAAAATGGATGGATGGATAGATGGTTAAATAAAATACAGTTAAATTAAGTGCACAATATAAATAAAGAAATATGTAATTTTTATGGTTTATTAAAGCAAACATACACTTTAATACACTCACCTAAAGGATTATTAGGAACACCATACTAATACGGTGTTTGACCCCCTTTCTCCTTCAGAACTGCCTTAATTCTACGTGG